TCATGCTGTTTAATAAGCTTCTTGATATGCCACACTGGTCAGTTGGATGGATTATCTTGGCAAAGGAGAAATGCTCACTGACAGGGATGTAAACAAATTTGTGCACAACATTTGAGAGAAATAAGCTTTTTGTGCGTATGGAACATTTCTAGGGTATTTTATTTCAGCTCATGAAACATGGGACCAACACATTACATGTTGCATTTATATTTTTGTTCAGTGTAGTATAGTATTTTCTAAAAAGGATAACTTTTTTTAAATGTTTCACTTAAAAAATTTTAAAAAATAAATTCACTGAGGAGGTTGTTCCTTCACTTCCTCCTCTGAGGAGCCTCCACTGCTAAACATGCTATATTCTCAGAGTAAATCTTTTGAACCATAAGTGATAGAGACATAGGGTTTGGACAATTTGTTTTTCAGATGCAATTCTCTATTGAATGGACATATTTATATAAACCTTGATCGAAATAACCATTTTATGGGTGAACACCCTACACTATACAGTTCTGTTGGCTTGATGCCAAGTTAATACAAGGTGTGCTGATGATCAAATCAAATTTTATTGGCCACATGCGCCGAATACAACAGGTGCAGACATTACAGTGAAATGCTTACTTACAGCCCTTAACCAACAGTGCATTTATTTTTTATAAAATAAAGTAAAATAAAACAACAACAAAAAAGTGTTGAGAAAAAAAGAGCAGAAGTAAAATAAAATAACAGTAGGGAGGCTATATACAGTGGGGAGAACAAGTATTTGATACACTGCCGATTTTGCAGGTTTTCCTACTTACAAAGCATGTAGAGGTCTGTAATTTTTATCATAGGTACACTTCAACTGTGAGAGACGGAATCTAAAACAAAAATCCAGAAAATTACATTGTATGATTTTTAAGTAATTAATTTGCATTTTATTGCATGACATACAGTGGGGGGAAAAAGTATTTAGTCAGCCACCAATTGTGCAAGTTCTCCCACTTAAAAAGATGAGAGGCGCCTGTAATTTTCATCATAGGTACACGTCAACTATGATAGACAAATTGAGAAAAAAATATCAAAAAAATCACATTGTAGGATTTTTAATGAATTTATTTGCAAATTATGGTGGAAAATAAGTATTTGGTCAATAACAAAAGTTTCTCAATACTTTGTTATATACCCTTTGTTGGCAATGACACAGGTCAAACGTTTTCTGTAAGTCTTCACAAGGTTTTCACACACTGTTGCTGGTATTTTGGCCCATTCCTCCATGCAGATCTCCTCTAGAGCAGTGATGTTTTGGGGCTGTCGCTGGGCAATACAGACTTTCAACTCCCTCCAAAGATTTTCTATGGGGTTGAGATCTGGAGACTGGCTAGGCCACTCCAGGACCTTGAAATGCTTCTTACGAAGCCACTCCTTCGTTGCCCGGGCGGTGTGTTTGGGATCATTGTCATGCTGAAAGACCCAGCCACGTTTCATCTTCAATGCCCTTGCTGATGGAAGGAGGTTTTCACTCAAAATCTCACGATACATGGCCCCATTCATTCTTTCCTTTACACGGATCAGTCATCCTGGTCCCTTTGCAGAAAACTAGCCCCAAAGCATGATGTTTCCACCCCCATGCTTCACAGTAGGTATGGTGTTCTTTGGATGCAACTCAGCATTCTTTGTCCTCCAAACACGACGAGTTGAGTTTTTACCAAAAAGTTCTATTTTGGTTTCATCTGACCATATGACATTCTCCCAATCCTCTTCTGGATCATCCAAATGCACTCTAGCAAACTTCAGACGGGCCTGGACATGTACTGGCTTAAGCAGGGGGACACGTCTTGCACTGCAGGATTTGAGTCCCTGGCGGGGGTAGTGTGTTACTGATGGTAGGCTTTGTTACTTTGGTCCCAGCTCTCTGCAGGTCATTCACTAGGTCTCCCCGTGTGGTTCTGGGATTTTTGCTCACCGTTCTTGTGATCATTTTGACCCCACGGGGTGAGATCTTGCGTGGAGCCCCAGATCGAGGGAGATTATCAGTGGTCTTGTATGTCTTCCATTTCCTAATAATTGCTCCCACAGTTGATTTCTTCAAACCAAGCTGCTTACCTATTGCAGATTCAGTCTTCCCAGCCTGGTGCAGGTCTACAATTTTGTTTCTGGTGTCCTTTGACAGCTCTTTGGTCTTGGCCATAGTGGAGTTTGGAGTGTGACTGTTTGAGGTTGTGGACAGGTGTCTTTTATACTGATAACAAGTTCAAACAGGTGCCATTAATACAGGTAACGAGTGGAGGACAGAGGAGCCTCTTAAAGAAGAAGTTACAGGTCTGTGAGAGCCAGAAATCTTGCTTGTTTGTAGGTGACCAAATACTTATTTTCCACCATAATTTGCAAATAAATTCATAAAAAATCCTACAATGTGATTTTCTGGATTTTCTTTTCTCATTTTGTCTGTCATAGTTGACGTGTACCTATGATGAAAATTACAGGCGCCTCATCTTTTTAAGTGGGAGAACTTGCACAATTGGTGGCTGACTAAATACTTTTTTCCCCCACTGTAAGTATTTGATACATCAGAAAAGCAGAACTTAATATTTGGTACAGAAACCTTTGTTTGCAATTACAGAGATCATACGTTTCCTGTAGGTCTTGACCAGGTTTGCACACACTGCAGCAGGGATTTTGGCCCACTCCTCCATACAGACCTTCTCCAGATCCTTCAGGTTTCGGGGCTGTCGCTGGGCAATACAGACTTTCAGCTCCCTACAAAGATGTTCTATTGGGTTCAGGTCTGGAGACTGGCTAGGCCACTCCAGGACCTTGAGATGCTTCTTACGGAGCCACTCCTTAGTTGCCCTGGCTGTGTGTTTCGGGTCGTTGTCATGCTGGAAGACCCAGCCACGACCCATCTTCAATGCTCTTACTGAGGGAAGGAGGTTGTTGGCCAAGATCTTGCGATACATGGCCCCATCCATCCTCCCCTCAATACGGTGCAGTCGCCCTGTCCCCTTTGCAGAAAAGCATCCCCAAAGAATGATGTTTCCACCTCCATGGGTTGTACTCATCCTTCTTCTTCCTCCAAACACGGCGAGTGGAGTTTAGACCAAAAAGCTCAATTTTTGTCTCATCAGACCACATGACCTTCTCCCATTCCTCCTCTGGATCATCCAGATGGTCATTGGCAAACTTCAGACGGGCCTAGACATGCGCTGGCTTGAGCAGGGGGACCTTGCGTGCGCTGCAGGATTTTAATCCATGACGGCGTAGTGTGTTACTAATGGTTTTCTTTGAGACTGTGGTCCCAGCTCTCTTCAGGTCATTGACCAGGTCCTGCCGTGTAGTTCTGGGCTGATCCCTCACCTTCCTCATGATCATTGATGCCCCATGAGGTGAGATCTTGCATGGAGCCCCAGACCGAGGGTGATTGACCGTCATCTTGAACTTCTTCCATTTTCTAATAATTGCTCCAACAGTTGTTGCCTTCTCACCAAGCTGCTTGCCTATTGTCCTGTAGCCCATCCCAGCCTTGTGCAGGTCTACAATTTTATCCCTGATGTCCTTACACAGCTCTCTGGTCTTGGCCATTGTGGAGAGGTTGGAGTCTGTTTGATTGAGTGTAAGTGCTTTGTAAGTAGGAAAACCTGCAAAATCGGCAGTGTATCAAATACTTGTTCTCCCCACTGTATACAGGGGGGTACCGGTGCAGAGTCAATGTGCGGGGGCACCGGCTAGTTGAGGTAGTTGAAGTAATATGTACATGTGGGTAGAGTTAAAGTGACTATGCATAAATAATTAACAGAGTAGCAGCAGCGTAAAAAGATGGGGTGGGGGGGCAGTGCAAATAGTCCGGGTAGCCATGATTAGCTGTTCAGGAGTCTTATGGCTTGGGGGTAGAAGCTGTTGAGAAGTCTTTTGGACCTAGACTTGGCACTCCGGTACCGCTTGCCTTGCGGTAGCAGAGAGAACAGTCTATGACTAGGGTGGCTGGAGTCTTTGACAATTTTGAGGGCCTTCCTCTGACACCGCCTGGTATAGAGGTCCTGGATGGCAGGAAGCTTGGCCCCAGTGATGTACTGGGCCGTACGCACTACCCTCTGTAGTGCCTTGCGGTCGGAGGCCAAGCAGTTGCCATACCAGGCGGTGATGCAACCAGTCAGGATGCTCTCGATGGGGCAGCTGTATAATTTTTTGAGGATCTGGGGACCCATGCCAAATCTTTTCAGTCTCCTGAGGGGGAATAGGCTTTGTCGTGCCCTCTTCACGACTGTCTTGGTGTGTTTGGACCATGATAGTTCGTTGGTGATGTGGACACCAAGGAACTTTAAGCTCTCAACCTGTTCCACTACAGCCCCGTCGATGAGAATGGGGGCGTGCTCAGTCCTCTTTTTTTTCCTGTAGTCCACAATCATCTCCTTTGTCTTGGTCACGTTGAGGGAGAGGTTGTTATCCTGGCACCACACGGCCAGGTCTCTGACCTCCTCGCTATAGGCTGTCTCATCGTTGTCGGTGATCAGGCCTACCACTGTTGTGTCGTCGGCAAACTTAATGATGGTGTTGGAGTCGTGCCTGGCCATGCAGTCATGGGTGAACAGGGAGTACAGGAGGGGACTGAGCACGCACCCCTGAGGGGCCCCCGTGTTGAGGATCAGTGTGGCAGATGTGTTGTTACCTACCATTACCACCTGGGGGCGGCCCGTCAGGAAGTCCAGGATCCAGTTGCAGAGGGAGGTGTTTAGTCCCAGGATCCTTAGCTTAGTGATGAGCTTTGAGGGCACTATGGTGTTGAATGCTGAGCTATAGTCAATGAATAGCATTCTCACGTAGGTGTTCCTCTTGTCCAGGTGGGAAAGGGCAGTGTGGAGTGCAATAGAGATTGCATCATCTGTGGATCTGTTGGAGCGGTATGCAAATTGGAGTGGGTCTAGGGTTTCTGGGATAATGGTGTTGATGGTGTTCACTGTGCGGTGTCTCTGCAGGCTATGGGCTGCCTGCTGTATAAGCTGTGCTACTTCACCCTGCCATTTGGGGAGAGCCAGGTGGCCATCTGTGACGGCAGCTTCACTATTCCAGACAACTCCCGCTACTCCCAGGACATGCACTGCCTCATCAGTGAGTAGCCATCCTCCCCATCACCTTATACTCACTGGTCTGTTTTTTTATCTGTGTGAGAGAGTCAAGGCTCTGTCTTTCTTTTCTGGCTCTGTTTTTCTCCTCTGTGCCCTTTCTCTCTTTCACAGTCCAAGTATTTTAGTCCAAAGAGAGAAATATATCATTACCAACCATATATTTTTTTCCATTCATCAGGATACATGCTGGAGCCTGACCCTGAGAAGAGACCAGATATCTACCAAGTGTCCTACTTCGCCTTCAGGCTGGCCAGGATGGAATGCCCCATCCAGAATGTACATGTAAGTCACCTCACCTTCAGAAATGACAACAGGTCTAGAAAATCTCCCTTGAGACAAAGTTACAACCAAATAATTAAAAGGGTCATAATGTAGAGGACCTTTTAACTTTATCTGATTTGTTACCTTGTTCTTTCCTAATGCCAGGTGTAAATAAATAATTGAAAGTAAGAGATGATATGTAAGGCACTGTACATTTTATTAAGATGTTTTATTTAAGTCTAATCGTTTTGGAAAGCAACATAAGTGTAGTGCAAAATGCCAGAAGATGGGGGAGCAGGGAGCTTTGTGGTTGTTGCCAGATGGCTTCCCTCCATCCCCTAGGCCCCTTTGCTATGCATTGATGGAGCAATGTCAGCACTCAATCATCTGACACAGCACATTTCAGACCACATTCCCAGAGCGGCATCAAAGTGGACATTCAAGGCCGGTTCATGAAATCTGTAACTGATCATTAAATTGCTGCAATCATGTGTCATGCAGAAGTTATAATGATAAAGGGTTCTTGTTCCCGCTCTGTGACAAAACGTTTATACTAGAAATCTGAGTGAAGCTAATTGATTTTAATTGGGTAATATATCTAAGCATAGTACTGTACTCTTCTCACCTTCTTAGAACTCCCCTATTCCTACAAAACTCCCCGAACCAATCAGAGCCAGCGAAGCTGTGGCCAAAAAGAGTCAATCCAAAGCCAGGTGAGTGAGGAGCATGAGTATCTGGGCTTTTTTATAGTTAGAGATGTCAAGCTCCGGCAATGAAAACCTGCCCTTCCTGTCCCCTTCCAGGCTCACAGACCCCGTACCCACAATGGAAACCTCCATCGCACCCCGTTCACGGCCCAAAGCTGGAGGGGCCCAGCCCATAGGCATCCTGCCCATCCAGCCGGCCCTCACACCACGCAAGAGACCCAACGTGGCTGCAGGAGGGCCCCAGCCCATAGGTACGAATACAGTACCCTCTATACCACCTCTGTTTCTCAAAGCTTGAACCATAAGGATCTGATGATGTGGTGAGCTGAGGCCTGCTAATAGTGAAAGTCTCTTATCCTGTAACAAAACACTCACCAAGATAGGCATCCTGTATTGAGCTTGACGTATTGAAATGTTCCACATCTTTGGCTGACATAACATGTCCTTGTAATCCCAGTGGTTCAATTTGTCCAGCCGGACAAGTCTTTAATAGTCTATTAATGAGCCCTTGGTGACATTCATAGTCTATCTGTCCATATGCTTGAATAGAGACGGATAGGAGCTTCAAGCTTGTCTGTTTCAGTCAATTGTTATCAAGTCACCCTTACACTTCAGCTCCACTATACGCTTTGCTTTGTTTTGCCATCAGCGTCGCGTCAATGTGAAGTTTTACCTACTACACACAGTGCCATGTTTTGAGAGCGTAGAGGAGCAGAGAGGAAGAGTCTCTTTATTCTATTTTCCTGTACTGTACCATAATTATTGATTATGCGTAAGTACAATAGCTTTGGTTCAGTTTTTGGCAAGTACTCATTCAATTATTGCTAGGGGTTGTACTAAATTATCCTTTAATTTCACAAGTTGCTTTTGTTTACATTGTGAATATAGTCATAATGAGTTTCTGCTAGCTAGTAGCTTCTTGACTTCATAAATCTGGATAAGAGCCTCTGCTAAATGACTAAAATGTAAATGTAAATCTTAGTAAAATAACCAGTGGTGTATAGTCAAGGCCATATACAACCAAAATCAACTTTATTTCAATTCACAAGATAGAATTGAACCGCAGCGATTCTTGATCTTGGACGCTGCCATTGGACATGACGCAACGCGAGCGCGACACGGGCAGTAAAGCAGCTTTCATTGATTTCAAAAGAAGCATTCCCTCAATGGCTGATGGCAATGCCTGGTCACCCAGTGGCTGTAGTTTAGCAGGGCTGTTACAAGACAACCATCTTCACTGTATTATAGGTGTTTTAGGCGCTGCCCATCCTGCTGCTGCTGTCCAATCAGTTCAGCAGGCACCTACTGCACAGGCCACACCCCCACTGTCTCAGACCACCTCTTCGCAACCCATGGCCACGCCCCAGCATCAGCAGGGTCTCTTCATGAAGCAGCAGGTGGCAGACTTTTTCAGCCCACAGCAGCAAGTCAACCAGGTGGGCATACAGTATTTCATATTAGTCTACTAAAGGCACTATTTATTACCTTATGTTGATAATCTTGTTGCCATTTGCCAATAATATCAAGTAATTTCACTGCAATATTCCATTTACTTTGTCTCTCAATAGTATTAGTAGGAGACTCCTTGGTCATAAACATGGTCCACTGTATGCTCGTGCTGTGTATGTAAGGATGCCATTGTTTGTTTTGTATCCATTTATTGTCTTCCAACTTTTGTTTCTATGCAGAGTGCACTTTTAGCAGGACCTTGTGGTTTTGGATTCAATTGAATCAAACGGAATAACTTTATTGACTTTGCAGAAACTCCCCTCTGATGTGTTAAACCAGTTCACCACATGTCAAGTTTCATGAACAACACAGGTCTCAGAAGGGTATTTACATGTGGGGAACTGGTTTGCACTTCTCAGAGCAATAACGAATCCCAGACTGGGCCAAATGAGACAGTAGGGAGAGGTTTTCCTGAACACTGGTTGTGTTTTTCCCACCATCCTATCCCTAAGCAGCATCAGCTGGTGCAGACCCTCTACAAACGGCAGCAGCAGCAGCCTCCCATGCTGCCCCCCCAGGGCTCTGTGGCTGTGCAGCCCAAAGCTAATCCTGCGGCTCCAGTTGCTCCTCTGCAGCCACCAACCGGCCCTGTGCTCCCCTACCCCCAAACAGCAGCTCCCCCTCCATCTCAGCCTGCACCTGATTCCGACTCTGACTGTGACTCTGAGCCCATGGTAACCGCCCTCCCCTCCGGCAGCATGCTGTGCTTTGGGACAGGGGGGCTAACGGGCCCTCTCCTTCTGTCTGGGGCCTTCGAATCTAGCTAATCACCGAACACTGACTTTGTATGCATTCTACATTTGAATTGGATTAGTTCCCTTTGAAATAACTGCATGTTTTATTGATCTGTGTTAACAATGATGTAGAAATACTTGCTCTTGGATTGGTCTTGTATCCTGTTGTGAGGACTGAATGAAGCAAAAGTAAACATGAATGCTGTAATAAGGTGCATACAAACAATGTAAAGAAGGTCATCTTTGAATCTTTTTAGTAATTCTTTCAAACATCAAAGTCAGATATTTCATGCTTTGCATAGTGTTCAAAGATATCAAACCAAAAAGATTAGATTTAGAAGCTGTCTGGCTGCTTTTCCTTTCACTATGGTTATAGTGTCTAAGGTTGTCATGAAACATCTCTGTCCCTGGAACCTGTCACCACTCAGTTGTCTCTTTTTAATTTGTGTGTTTTGTTATTTATTCTTCTAAATCTTCTAAATCCAATCTCTCAACAAAAACATTTGAATCAATAACTGATCATCCTAAAGACCATCCATTGGTGCTTTGCCATTAATCAACCATGTCTTTCCACTAACCAGTAGAATGTGTTTCAATGTGGTTTTGCAATCGTTCTGTATTTTGGGATGCAATGAAAATAATATCCTCTTAGAGAATGGCTAATCAACTTGTATCAACCTGTAATTTTCTTCCTTCTCTCCCTGATTTTCATATTCATTGTGATATAACTCTCTCTCTTTCCTCCCCAGCCTCTGGCCTCTGGCCGTGGGCTCCACAAGGTTGGCTCCCTGACGCCCCCCTCCTCCCCAAAGATGGCCCCCCGGGGTGGCCACAGGCGCATCCTGAGCGACGTCACCCACAGTGCTGTGTTTGGGGTCCCAGTCAGCAGGTCCACCCAGCTACTGCAGGCAGCTGCAGCCGAGGCCAGCCTCAACAAGTCCAAGTGAGCTGAATTAACTCATCTCAATTAACTAATAATCAACTGTCCAATTATTCCAATAACACAGAGAGAGAGAGATGCAGGCCAATAAATATACAACAGAGAACCATATAAACACCCCCTTTATAGCCCAGTTTAACACAGCAATAAACCGTCTATTCAATCTACAATGAACTCAATAGACTTTTTAATCACCCATATTTGCTTACATGCTCTATATTTGGCACAGACTCGTTTGTACATAAGATAAATGAGATGGATGATTTCCACTGTAACCGTTGTGTTTCCATATGTTTGTTGTAGGTCAGCCAGCACCACCCCCTCTGGCTCCCCCTGCTCCTCCCAGCAGAGTGTGTACCAGCCAGGTGAGGGCGGTGCCCAGACAGCTCCCTATGCACCCACTGGCAGCTGGAACCCATTTGGTGATGACAACTTCTCCAAGCTCACTGCCGAGGAGCTACTCAACAAGGACTTTGCCAAGCTGGTCGAGAGTAAGACCACAATGTCCAGTCGGTGTATATGCGTCTACAAGTGCAATGGATAGTTGGTAGATGGGTAAATGAACAGAGGTGATGTTTTCTAATTGTGTATGTCTTTATGACAGCTACAACAGGGGAGAGGGCCAGCCTCTCCACAGAGAACCTCATTCCAGGGCTGCAGCCTGTCTCTGCTGCTTGTGCCACAGGCAAGGCTTTCCCAGGTAAGGCTGTCCATGTGTTCACCAGCCCTCCTCTCTCCTTGTGTCATGAATACGTTATTATCCCTCCCTCATTTCTACATATGTGTTGTCCTCATGTGTTTTTAGGTGTTGGCTTCTTCTCTGTAAATCTTTCTTTAAGACAAATATTTCCTCCCTTTTTCCTCGTTTACAATGTATCCAATATTGGTTTGTGTAGTTGTTGGTTTAGCTTCTGTAACTTTGTACCAACTACGGTCTACATGTGCAGTGCTTTTATATTGTGTCATGATTAGATGTTGCGTATATCAGTCCCAGAGACATCCAACTGTCCCATATATATAATTGTAATGCCCTTCTAGCCATTATAATAATGGCCATTAATATGGAGTTGGTCCCCCCTTTGCTACTATAACAGCCTCCACTCTTCTGGAAAGGCTTTCCACTAGATGTTGGAACATTGCTGCGGGGACTTGCTTCCATTCAGCCACAAGAGCATTAGTGAGGTCGGCACTGATGTTGGGCGATTAGGCCTGGCTTGCAGTCAGCGTTCCAATTCAACCCAAAGGTGTTCGATGGGGTTGAGGTCAGGGCTCTGTGCAGGCCTGTCGACAAACAATTTCTGTATGGACCTCGCTTTGTGCACAGGGGCATTGTCATGCTGAAACAGGAAAGGGCCTTCCCCAAACTGTTGCCACAAAGTTGGAAGCACAGAATCGTCTAGAATGTCATTATATGCTGTAGCATTAAGATTTCCCTTCACAGGAACTAAGGGGCCTAGCCCGAACCATGAAAAACAGCCCCAGACCATTATTCCTCCTCCACCAAACTTTACAGTTGGCACTATGTATTCGGGCAGGTAGCATTCTCCTGGCATCCGCCAAACCCAGATTCGTATGTCGGACTGCCAGATGGTGAAGCGTGATTCATCACTCCAGAGACCAATGGCGGCGAGTGTACACCACTCCAGCCGACGCTTGGTATTGTGCATGGTGATCTTAGGCTTATGTGCAGCTGCTCGGCCATGGAAACCCATTTCATGAAGCTCCCGATGAACAGTTATTGTGCTGACGTTGCTTCCATAGGCCGTTTGGAACTTGGTAGTGAGAGTTGCAACCGAGTGTTGCAGACAATTTTTGTCGGTCCCGTTCTCTGAGCTTGTGTGGCCTACCACGTCGTGGCTGAGACGTTGTTGCTCCGAGATGTTTCCACTTCACAATAACAGCACTTACAGTTGACCGGGGCAGCTCTAACAGGGCAGAAATTTGACGAACTGACTTGTTGGAAAGGTGGCATCCTATGACGGTGCCACATTGAAAGTCACTGAGCTCTTCAGTACGGGCCATTCTGCTGCCAATGTTTGTATATGGAGATTGCATGGTTGTGTGCTTGATTTTATACACCTGTCAGCAACTGAAATAGCTGAATCACAAATTTCAAGGGATGTCCACATACTAGTGTATGTCCTATATCTCATGTTCCTTAAATCCATTGTTTATATAATGACTCTGAGATGACATGGCTTTGCTCTGTAGTCCTGTTGTCCCTGTCCTGTTAGTATATAAATAATATGCCATTTAGCAGACGCTTTTATCCAAAGCGACTTACAGTCATGCGTGCATAATTTTTTTTGTGTATGGGTGGTCCCAGGGATCGAACCCACTACCTTGGCGTTACAAGCGCTGTGCTCTTCCAGCTGAGCTACTGTTAGCACAGTAAACGCACTCATTGATTCCCTTTCAGCTCCTATGAATAGAGACCTTAGCTGGATCGCCTAATACTTGTGGATCCGTGCCTCTAACTGCACTGTTGGCTGCTTACCGGAAGGACATATTCTACTTTGTTAATTGGATTGCTGTACTGTAGCCTACCTCTGGAGGTGCCTGCTTTAGAATGCCTCTGTCACTGTGAAAAGTGGGAAAGTTTAGCATCACATCTGAGCTCTTCCTTCAGTTGGTAGTTGACTGCTTTTCCAAATGGCTCAGGAGCAATACACTGTCCTCAGTTTGTTTTAGCTCAGTCTGGTCTGTGCAAAGGCCCACAGAGTGGCTGCAGTGACAGTCGAACAGTCAGTGGGGACTGAGACTGAGCTAAGGAGATAAAAGGCTGCATGTGGCTGTTACATAAGCAGGGTGTGGTTAATCTTCTCTGTCCTCTCCTCACTCACATACAGTCTTCTACACAGGCACTGAGAGATAGAGAACACTGAGGATTTACTTGCAGCACAGCACAGGTACAGTCCACAACAGGAGCTGCATCACTGCTGTTGGGAGAGCACTGCACAGTGTCTGCAGAAGTTCACATAGCCACAGGCCAGATGTAAAGCCCACCAAGCCTGTTACGCCACAGCATATTTCAGAAGGGATGGTCATACTATCTAGTCTAGTTATTCAATTCTCATAATATGTAATTCTTAAATGGGATTGGAAAGAGAACCAGTTTCCTCACAGATCAGTGCATGCTGCTGTCATATGGTGCCAAAAGAGGAGTACACCAGAGCCATACATCTAGATATGGCTCTGGAATACACAGCCTTTGTGTCATAGCAGTTTGTTAGCATTGACCTACGACCTATGACCTTTATCCCTTAGTGAAGGGGGCAAATGGGCAGCTGTGCTGTGTCATATTCTGAGCCCACACCCCCCCAAGGTCCTCTGCGCCCCGGTCCCCCCATAGCAGCCAGTCACCTGTAAGTATGTATGGAGAGGAGGTTTTGACCCAGAAGATACTCTCACGCGCATGCACCTGGTTTGCACTCAGTCTGTTTGGATGTACTAACCTGCTGGAGAGGCACATATCCTGAAGGCAGTCCTCCTGCTTTGTCTGTGACACAGACCTGGCACACCCATAAAGCTGACTTAACAAGGATACCATCAGTCAGGTAGTGCTGGGTGATCCAACACTTGTTCAGTGATGAAAGTGGAGAATAGTCATGTAAGGACAGTCAGTGATGTAGGCCTAGTCTGTGGAATGGTGTTATGGTAGCTAACCCCTGGTATGTTTTTGTATAGGCTGACATTTTGCTCTTTGAGACTATTTGGCGATGCTTGTCTGCCATATTGAAATGAATCTGTCAACTAATGACCAAATACAGATGAAATACTGACACTAGCTGCTAGGGGTTTGTCTTTGTCTCCATGTCTTGGTTTGATTGGATGTGTTGATGGTTTAAGACTAGCAGGGTACACACTCCCTTTGAAGGCATGCTGTTTCGCTCCACTACCAGTTTGAAATGAATGGTATTAATAGAGTGGGCCCAGCTGAAATAAACCTCTCCTCTACTCAAGCATGGTCTGTGACCTCTATCACACTAGGATTGATTTAGTATTTTCCTCATCTTTTTATGCCCCTCTGCTGAATAGGAAAGCAAGAGGGATAGGGCTGCCTCATGGCAAAACATGACTCAGCCAATAGAATAATGACAAATCCAAGAACTAACAGTTACTACCCCTTGTGAGCGTTACCCTTTACCAACTAATGCTCACCTTGATGTAATAATTAATTACCATGTTCTCAGTGGGACCTAAATGAGCCTTCATCTCTTGTTTCCTTGCCTCCCCTTTTCTCCCTCTATTCCTACTTTGCAAATGCATATTCTCCCTTCCTTTCCTCTCTATTTCTATGCCTTTCTCCCACCCGGTCCTCCCTCTCCTCTCCTCTTTCCGTCCCTCTGTTTGGATGGCTCACAGAGAAACTGATTGAGGGACTGAAGTCCCCCGAGACTTCGCTGCTGCTCCCTGACCTTTTACCCCTGGCTGACCCCTTCAGCAGCTCTGGAGAGGGCAACAGCAATGGTATCAGGCTCTCCTGACTGCCTGTCTGTCTATCTCTGTCTGTGTGCCTGTCTGTCTGTCTCTGTCTGTCTGTCTCTGTCTGTCTGTCTGCCTGACTGCCTGTCTGTCTGTCTGCCTGACTGCATGTCTGTCTGTCTCTGTCTGTGTGCCTGACTGCATGTCTGTCTGTCTCTGTCTGTGTGCCTGTCTGTCTGTCTCTGTCTGTGTGCCTGACTGCATGTCTGTCTGTCTCTGTCTGTGTGCCTGTCTGTCTGTCTCTGTCTGTGTGCCTGACTGCCTGTCTCTGTCTGTGTGTCTGTCTGCATGTCTGTCTCTCCCGTCTCTCCCCTTCCTGTATCCTGTATGTATGCTTCTGGTTGTTTATGAACTCAAATCAGTCTCATATACTTTATCTGGAGCTGGAGCTTTTTTTATTCCCTCTGTCCTTCTCATTCATTTACTTCTCATTCATTTCTTTATCTGACTATCTCTCCTGTTCCATTTTCAGCAGCAGCGAAGGCTGAGATGTATGTGGACTCTCTGATCCCAGGTCTGGAGACAGTCTCAGCCAGCCTGCCAGGTTAGTGCCCAATACCTTACTGTTCTTACCGCTCCTCTGTATCAGCCTTGATTTATAGGTAGTATTATTGCCATACATCAGTTGGCTTGCATGAATGAACACACAGCTCTGTGTGTGAGGCCACAATGCATTGGGATAACACAGAGGGATTTGCCTTCACTAAGATTGAGTGTTATTTCTGCCATCAACGTCATACAGGGATATCACTCTTGATTCAGGAGCTTTGTTGTGGTTTCCTTTGTTTTAACTATTGCTTAGTGTTGAAAGGATCAGGTCATTTATCTGTAGCCTGCGCAAACTCACCCTGCCAGGCTATGCTGACAGGTTTGCCTTCACCAAAATAATTCCCTGTCACCATTTTTTTATTGCTGTGGAATGGTTGTGACAGCAGGCGTCTCGGTTTGTTGCAATGATCCGTTACTATGACGTACTCTTAAGGGTGAACAGGAAAACATTTGCAGTGCACTGTTGATTAGCAGTGCTGATTCTGCTCCAGATGAACATGAGCACAGTGTGAATGTTTGTGTAATGGCTGACATTCCCTGCAGCCAGTGAAAGTAGGCTGGAGCTGGGGACAAGGCAGCTACTGCTGAGCAATAGAGCGTGTCTGCTGCCCCTGGGTTTGACCTCTCCACATCACGCAGTGGGCAGCTTTTCATGCATTGGGCAGCTTTTCACTCAGCTCAGCTTTTGGTTGTAGTGTCAATCTGCTCCACTAGAGGGCAGTAATGGACCATGGTCCTGTCATTGGTCCAACTACCACATACAGCACAGTACCATTACTAGTCTGGGGTTTTAGCAGGGGACTACTTTGAGGATAAATTTACACAGAGTATACCAAATATTAGGAACGCTTTCCTAATATTGAGTTGTACCCCCACTTTTGCCCTCAGAACTGCCTCAATTTGTCAGGGCATGGACTCTACAAGGTATCGAAAGCGTTCTACAGGCATGCTGGCCCATGTTGACTCCAATGCTTCCCACAGTTGTGTCAAGTTGGCTGGATGTCCTTTGGGTGGTGGATCATTCTTGATACACATGGGAAACTGTTGATTGTGAAAAGTAGCGTTGTAGCTCTTGACACAAACCGGTGTACCTGACACCTACTATCATACAACGTTCAAAGGCACTTAAATATTTTGTCTTGCCCATTCACACTCTGAATGGCACATGTACACAATCCATGTCTCAAGGCTTGAAAATCCTTCTTTAACCTGTCTCCTCCCCTTCATCTTCACTGATTTGAAGTGGATTTAACAAGTGACATCAATAAGGGATCATAGCATTCACCTGGTCAGTCTGTTGTGGAAAGAGCAGGTGTTCTTAATGTTTGTATACTCAGTTTATATCTGAGTAAGAAGCTCATTCATTTTGTCTGAACTTTTTTCTGTGGGAAAAGGGTGAGCAAGCTTACTAACCTAATGCTTTTTCTTCTGTTTGGGCTAATGGTCTGTTTTCACTTTCTTTCCTTCTTCCTCCCTCCATCCTAACCCCTGGTCCCTGTGCCCTGGCCTCTCCTCCCTCAGACCCTCTGGCTGGGGAGGGCTCTCTGCTGGGCTGCTCTCTGCTGTCTCACACCTCCACCCCTGGGGCTCAAACTGTCTGTGTACCCCCATCCTCCTGCTCCTCTGCCCCCCCAGGCTCTGCCTCCTGTCTGGATGAGCTGGCTCCTGTCTCATTTGGCACTGCCCAGGCACCTGCTGGTAAGATCCTCTCTCATCAGCTGTCATATACTGTACACTGAGTGTACAAAACATTAGGAACATCTTCCTAATATTGAGTTGCACCTGCTTTTGCCCTCAGAACGAACAGCCTCAATTTGTCGGGGCATGGACTCTACAAGGTGTTGAAAGCGTTCCACAGGGATGCTGGCCCATGTTGACTCCAATGCTTCCCACAGTTGTGTCAAGTTGGCTGGATGTCCTTTGGGTGGTGGGCCATTCTTGATACACACGGAAACTGTTGAGCGTGAAAATCCCAGCAATGTTGCAGTTCTTGACACACTAAAACCGGTGCGCCTGGCTACCATACTACTACCATACCCCGTTCAAAGGCACTTCAATATTTTATTTTGCAGGGTTCGCACAAGGTGCCAAGTACATGAATTTGGCACTCTGAAATTCAAGTACAGGAATACCTTGAAAATCAGACATGTTCTCAAGTTGGTACTTGCAAAGTACTTGAATTAAAATGAAAGGAGAACAGAAAATTATCAAATATGTTAATGTAAAAATTTATTGGTCTTGCAAATTAATTTCCAGGCAGTCTAGAGTTTTGCGTTCTGGTTGCCAGGAGAGCTCGCTCATTCCACCAACACTGCCACTCAGCCAGGCAGGTACAGAACTGACTGATTAGGCGCCGCCAAATGTCACATCGATAACTAAAATGCCGGGCAAATGTAGATTCAACCCTGCCTGGAGGATGTTTATGAATGGGTTTTGCCAGACCCAACCAGGGATGTAGTGGAGGGGAAACACTGTTTATGCATCTTTCTATTTAGGAAATAGGGTTTACTCACCCGGATTTACCTTGTTAGCAGCGTATTCATTCACTACTCTGTCCAATGGGAAACTCCGCCCACGACAAAGGCCAAGAGGTGAAACGAACTACCTCAGGTCAGACCTACAGTTTCAAGTAGCAGAGATGCCGCTGACAGTGGCAATTATTTTAACATCCCTCGACTCCTGCCGTGTCAACAGACATCCCCCAAACAACCCTCCCCCGGTGTACAACTGGTAAATAGTCACTGATATTTCAGTCAGGTGTCTAGCTAGCTAGGTAGCTCAAGGGCTCTGGCTATTAGCCAGGTAGCTAGCTATAACTAGCTGGCTAGAAGGATGAAGTTGGAGGCTAACGTTGAACGGAGCCTGACCTCAGCAGTTGACTGAAATTAAGCTAGCTATAATCAAAAGATGGGCTACTATAAGTTATCATAACAAAATACCTTTTCTTTATAGACAGTAGTGAGACAGAGTGGTTAGTCATTCTGCAATGAAGGAGGCAAAGGAGATACACAGAGAGAGGAAGCATTGAAGCAAGCAGGGAGAGAGGTTAGTAGTACAGTGGTTCCCAAACTTGGGGTCCGGGACCCATGTGTGTCCCCTAAAATGTTAAATAGGGTCCCCACATTAATAACTTGTTTCTCTTCAAATGGGTATAGAATACAATATTTTAGAGTCAACTAAGGACCTTTTACACTGTCAGAATTCACTTTCATGTAATTTAGTGAAATAAAGACAATTTAAATATAAAAGACAATTGAATATTATGTATGATGAACAGAAATATAAACGCAACATGCAACAATTTCAAAGATTTTACTGAGTTAGAGTTCATATAAGGAAATCAGTCAACATCATCAGCACTGACTTACCACTCATATAGTAAATAAGTAGTGAAACGCTTATTATTGAGTAGAACTTGTAAGGGAGTGATGACTGCAACTAGAAACAATTGCATAATAGGAACTATTACAAATTGATGGTCCTTGAAAATAAATATCAGTGCTTGAGAAAGTACTTGAATTTGACTTGCCACTGTCTATACGAATCCTGATCTTGCCCATTCACCCTCTGAATGGCACACATACACAATCCATGTCTCAATTGTCTCAAGGCTTAAAAATCCATATTTAACCTGTCTCCTCCCCTTCATCTACACTGATTTTGAAGTGGATTTAACAAGTGACATCACCTGGATTCAACTGGTCAGTCTGTCATGTTATGTACATTCAGTGTGTTATCTGTGTAAACGCCTCACAGCAAGTCTGACCTCTGACTTATGTTCAGCCCAAACTAAACCACAGACCTGCAATATCTCTTAGCTGTAATGCCCACTTAGAACACTAAAATACATGTTCAAAGGCAAGTGACCTTTGAATGTATGATGTTAAACTATCACATTACTAATATCAAAATGAACTATATAATTTCAGAAGGGTAATTGGATATTGATACAGACATGTCGGCAGCCTGTATCAACAACCCTTTATAGTTCAGACAGTGAGGTATTCATTTGTAGCACTATACAGCAGCCACAACATTGTGGGATCTTCTGCAGACCCTTGACTCATTTACAAAAGCCACATCAGATGCGCATGGCTTAGTACTAACGTTGTGACTGCTCTGGCTGCGTCTGTCTCTGTACTCCCTGCACCCTCCCCTCCTGGGCTGCGCTAACCAACCCCCCTCCATCACCCCTTCACCTCTCCTCCACCTGCAGACTCTGCTTACCTCATGTCGGGCTTCCAGCCGCTCGAGGCTGGGAAGAAGGGCACTGAGGACGAGTTTGACCCCATCCCCGTGCTTATCTCCAAAAACTCCAACAACCAAGGTATGTAAGGCAGACCAGCAGAATGTAGATAGGGTTTGGATCCACGTGTCTCGTTGATCCACGCATATCTTCTGAAGACCAGAGTACTGTTCTGTATGAGCTGTCTTCCTCAACCCATATAACCCCAAGGTGACCATGAATGAGCACAGCCATCGCTGAGAAGACCCTAGCTAACACCTTAGTTAATCACTTACACCTGATGAGAGCACCCATGGCTGGATGTGCTGTAACATTAGCTAGCCCTCATCCTAGCATGCTCTCACATCAGTGGGTTTCTCTTAACTTTCTCTCATTGACTTTTCATTAGTTGAACGTTGTCAATAAGAATTGGCAGTTCCCATCAAAGGAAGGTACCATTCTGCAGTTGTTTTGTACAGTCTGTCAGAACAGAAGCACCAAAGGCAGAGCTTGAAGGAGTAGTTCTTCTAGAGGTTAGGACGACTTACAGTATGTCCTCCCAGCACGCTTTCCCTGAAAGGCCGCGGCTGCAGATAGATAACCTCCGCTTACTTTCTGGATCTTTCTCTTCTTCTCTTCCCCCTGTCCCTCATTCACTCCTGTTTGCTCCTGTCATTCTGACCTCTCTCCTCTCCGCTCTCTTTCACTGATTCTCAATTCTTTGCCACTATATGTTCTGTCTTCTGTTCTCTGTCAAATACTCTCTTAAAATATTACTCTCTCTCCCGCTTGTTGGCCTTTCTCCCTCTTCTCTCTTCCTTGCTCCCTCCATGTCCTCCTCTCTCTCGCTCTGTCTCGCTCTCTTTCTGGCACGTTTTAGGTGGTCACTCGCGCAGCAACAGTGGCAGTTCAGAGTCCAGCATCCCCAACATGGCCCGCTCCCTTCTGCTGGTGGATCAGCTCATCGACCTCTAGGGGGGTGGGAGAGAGAGGTCGAAGGGGCAGCGTGCAATCGTAACACGTAGGGGATGGAGAGGGGGCAGCAGAGGCACTTATGTAGTACCTTGTGAGGTGAAATGGAGGAACTTTAATGTGGACTAGTGAGAACTTTCTCTGGTGTACCTCCTTGCCCCCGCCTTCATCTCTTGCTTACCTGATACAATGGTTTCAAACCATTCATTCTGGCCGTTGGCATTCCCATGTTGGTAACAACATTGCATTAACCCCCCGCCCTGACACATTGTCTGCTTCTGCCTTGGCTGCAATATAGTCATTATCATACTTTCATCCATCTGTCGACATTCCTCATTGTCCTTCCATGCAGATTCAACCCCACCTTATGCACATACTGCCTGGCTTGCCCATAACCCTATTGTCTTTGCTGTGTTCTACAATGTTTGATCACTTATACAATCCACCCCTGGCAAATGTATTTGTCACAGGTCTGACCATGTAACACAACAGTACCATACTTCTATCTCTCCTGGTTATCTGTATGCACTCTTCCTGTAGCAGCTATGACCATGTAGAGTCTAGAGAGCAAAGCAGTTGCCCTTTAGAATAGCATATGCTGACTGAACTATCCAGAGCTGCTTGCATTGGGCATACAGGGGGGACTAATAATGACAATAAGCTGTCAGTCTTCTGCTGTGTGTTTAACTGTTATCAAACTGCTGTGGTCCACTGCTGCCCCTTGGGAATGTTTGGCTGTCTGTTGCAAATGTTGCGGTTGCAAATGTTGTAAGATGTCTGTCATTGTAATCTCAAAAGCACTTGTGCAACATGCACCGTTATGGTAGACATCTGATCTCTCTACAGGCTGTCGCTAGCTACCCCCAACTGGCGCTGATATTCAGGTCTACTACAACAACCATCTCCTTGACTGTGCAACCATGTTTATCTTGGCTGTGCTTTACGTAAGAGCTACAATCTCAGTTTATCTGAAGCTTTCCTGGGATTATTGTTCCTGTGCTGTGAATTTCCTGTAGTCCTTTAAGATTATATTGAGCTGGTGCATCTTTTTCCTCTCACTATGCCTCTAAGTATAAGAATTATCTGGAAAGGTTGATGCAATCGTGGTATTATTCTAAATGTATGATTCATTTCAATGCCCTTGTCATTTGGTCATAATTTAAAACGGATGCTCAACAACTTTCTCTCTTGGGCAGAAAGCATGCTAAATGGCTATTGATCATGTTTATTCCAATAAGAGCTTTATTGGTTTTATTTGGGTTTGTTTGATTCTATCCTCGGCCCAATGGCAAGGTTAACAGCTATAAATTCAGAGAATGTGAGATAGAAATTAGTGCCATATTGAGCATGGGTACTAGAGGAGAATAAGACTCACAGGGTCAACAGAACAGTGCAATGGTCATATCGTATTGTGGTTGTTTAGTGAGAGTCAGCTGATATTTACCAGTGAGCCAGCAGAGCAAAGCATAGTGAGAAGTAGGTGCAGCTTGTGTTTTGTCTGTCTGCTTGTGTTGTGCTGGCGTGGCTCTACAGTACAGGCAATCAGTTTCTCTATTTGTTCCATGTGCCTCTGTTGCACATGTTCATAATCATTCATATCCACCTCCCGTTTGTCTACCCATCCATACCACTCAAACACACACACACACACCTTGATGTTGCTTGCCTATGATATAATGTCCAACTCAAATCTTGACAAATATCCATTCCCCACCAACTCTGATGTATAGAAAACCACTGTTTCAATGTCCTCATTCTCCCTTTGCAAAGAAGTAGTTCAAGTACATTTTAAGTGTTTAATATTTTTAAAAAGACATGTCATATCACAGTATGAATAAATGTGACTATTGATAGTACTATAGAATGAATGTATGAAGTGAGTCAATATGAAATATATAACATTCATAACAAGTACATATAGGTGAATGAAAAAAGTTTATTTCTGTGTATTATTTATGAAGCTGTATTTAAGACTGCTATCATCGTGTCCCTCCTTTTTGTCCAAAGTATTTTTGTCTATCCTTGGTCGTGTGGAAGACTATTTTAGCGTAGAGAAGCAACTAGCCCCATGGTTTTAGCCATCTTAATGTGGTTGTGTTCTGAGGATAGCATTGTGCACTGTACCTCATTGAGGTATTATCGTCACGCCTCATCCCTGGTGTTCTAGTTTGATTTTTTTTCTCTGAGCTGTAGTTTATTTAATAGCATGAAGGGAATAGATTTCTTCCACCTCTTAGAGCCCTCCCTCCTCTGAAAACAGGGCTTATGACGGAAGGGTCTTCCTGATATCTCTGTCCCTTATTTTCCTCCTCACCCCTAAATGCATCACACAAGCGATCTAGCCTACCTGCTTACAAGTTACAGTGCAATTGGTCTCATTTGCTGGAAACAGAAGCACCATTTGTCTTGATTCATCTGTATCATCCTCCCAGCAAGCATAATCAGTGGATGTGATGCACTACATTGTACCCTCCTGAGGCATATCAAAATAATACGATACAATATTTCAGAAACTGAAATGCAACCCATATAAGAACCCTCAATGCCCCGAAGTGCATTTATTCAATGTCAAAAAGTATTGTTTCCATACTTGGAAAATATACAAAGCAAAAATATACATTTCCGTTGATGTTACTGCTAGTGTAGCATACTTGAAGTTATTTTCTTTTAGATCAAAAATTGTTTTACCCCTCCTCACCAAACCATATATTGTACAGTAAGTTTTAGAAATTGGCCTGTGGATTCTGAAGAGTGTATGGCCTGTATGGCCTGATAATCAGTAAACCTACTCTTGTTTTGTTTTTATTCATTTCCTCTCTGATCTACTTGTTGTTCAGTCTTGTGCAGGTTTTAGTGTGGCTAACCTATGCAATTCTACAGTAGTGCTCATATTATCATTAGACACCACAGTGCTGTATTCAGTAGAGGTCTAGCCTTGCCAGTAGAGTTTTAGTTGTGTTGCTGTGAAACGGATGTACCTAGTGTGTTTGCTAGGGGAAACAGTGACAAGTATAATCTATTTGATTATATGAAAACTGTTGAAATGAGCAAACAGCAAATGTTAATATGTGAAAGCAAAGAGTTATCTAGTGTGTACCTTATATTTTTATGAAATAAGAAGAAAAAAATCAAAAAGAAAGGGACATTAAATAAACATGTGAATGTAACTTTAGTCTCCTTGGTGTCTTTTTCAGTTCACCTGTAGGAAATGTAGTTCAATATATATGCTGGTGTTATGAGATGATTGGAAGAGCAAGTAGCTATAGGTACAGTATGCATCCTTTGGCTGATTAACACATCAGTCTGTTGCTTAGTCACACACCCACATAAGTCACTTACCTAACAATGCTCACATTTCAGACAGCGAATGCTGTCAGTCTGGCAGCTCATAAATGCGCTAATAGCTTTCAGAAGCCTCCACGTTTTGCAACAAAAATAAATAATTTTGCCCTATTGATCAAAACACAGTATTATCTCATTGACGCTACAGTATGGAAGTGCCCAATCATCCTATTACACCTCGGTGCTCTCACAGTTAAGCAACTAACACACTGCACTCTTACATGGGGTTGAGTGCTCTCACTGACTGTAGAACTCTCACACCTAGTTTCTTGCCTTTCAATCCACTGGGAGGTTGAGTAGCTTAGAGCTACAGTTCCACCTCTTCTCTTACTCACATCCTGCCCAGCTCTTTGCCCTCTGGCTGACTCTGAACTGTGCCCTACAATGGCTGCTACTAACCCTCTTCCTCTGGAGCTGCCGGCTAACTCCTGCTACCTGCACTACCAAGGTAAGACTGCCCCTGTTTCTGCCCCCCCAATCTCTGTCTGTCTGTCTGCTCCTGTGAGTCCTCTCACTCCTTGTTTCCACGGGTCCACTTGCTCCTTTAAGTCCCTATATCTTTATATAACTTACGAATAACAACCATAAATCTGCCAGTATTACGCGCTCTGAAATGGTACATGGAATTGTTTTGTTGAGGTGTTGAGTGTATCTGCTTAGAGGATGTTGCAGGTGTTCTGAAATCAATTAGTGGAAACAAGGTATTTTTTGTTGTTGTGGTGATGGTGCTGAATAGTCTTGTTTGTCACATTGTGTCTGTTGTGTTTTTGATGTAGTCGTGCTGGCTTTCTGCTGTTGGACCATTGTGCTGTTGTTGCTGTTTCCATGGTGTTTACTTGTTTGCAGTAGAGCTGTAGTACTTGTCATCTTTGGGATTGACTTATTGATGCTCCGTTAGACCATAGGACCACAGACCGTAGTGTTCAAAGCTGCGAGAGGTTTCTCAATGTCAACTCAATTGATGTATAAATATAAGTATTGATGTATTATCTCCGTTTATACATCTTAAGTCTTATCCTTTACTTTGTGTCTTCTCTCCTCTGCAGAGCTGAAAGGGGTGAGTAATGGCTACGCTGTGCTGGACGAGGGGGGTTCAGAACTTGAGCTGCCTGGAGAAGGCCACAGAGCAGACGAGTGCTGTTTCCACTCCAGCGATGAGGAGGAGGATGAGGAAGAGGAAGATGAGAGAGTAAAGGAGGAGCAGGGCAGGAGGGCCAGTGAGAGTGATGAGGTGGTCCATGACTGCAGTGGCTCCAGACCTTTGCTGCTGGATTCAGATGAAGATGAGGAGCAAGGGTCTGAATTACCCCTCCCATCCTCCCAGCCGTCCCTATCACACCCACAACTCTCCACTTCCTCCCACCAACCTACCCCATCCCTCCATGCCCCATCCCAGAATCATTCCCGCCAGATGCCCCAGCAAACTTGGGTGGTTGAGGTTGTCCCTGATGTCTTCTCCAAAGCCCCCTTCAGGATTGGACAAGAGGAGGCAGGTGATGTGTTCGCAAATGCCCCCTTCCCACGTCCCCCCGTTGTGGCTCAACAGCATCCAGATGTTTTCCTGCAGGCCCCCTTTGTGAAGCCCAAGACCCAGCACCCTCACCCAGCTGTGGTACACCCTGTGGCCCCTGAACCAGCCCTCTTGAGCCAGGTGGCCCCGCAGCCTTTCCGCCCACAGGCCCTGGCCAAGTACTCCCGACACTTTGACGGCCCCTTGCCTCAGCAACCTGTGACAGCTCAGAGGGTGGTGTCCAATGTGAGCAGGCAGGCTACTGTGGGCTCAGTACCTGTGGGACCCTTACACTCCTGGACTTCAGAGGTGAGCTCCGTAGACCCCTTTGTCTCTGCGCCCTTTCACGTCAAGGCCCCACAAGAAAAGCCCTGAAAGCTCCCATCCTTCCCTACAGAGCAGGGGAGCCAGCATTGGAGCCCACACCTGTGCACACTACACTAAGGCTTACACACTGCATGCTGTCACCAGCACCGGGGCTGGACTGCAGGGCAGCGTAGAACTCTTAAGATCTTATCCTTATCCAAACGGATCAGTCTTGCTATTGCACAAGGTCATCAATGTGTTTTTTTGCTGCAGTAGAATCGAGGTGGGTCCTCATTTATAAACACTGTGTACGCACAAAATATTCCCCCAAACATGCATGCGCCAGCTTTTAAGCAAAAGTTGACGTTAGAATGTGTTATCCTCCCGCAAACTTTAAACCATGCGTATGCACAGTTTCTAGTGGTTGAATTATTGCATTGCAATTAAGGAAAAAGTAGCATAGTAGCTTTGTGAAGGAATACAGTGCCTTCAGAAAGTATTCATACCCCTTGACTTATTCCACATTTTATTGTTACAGCCTGAATTCTAAATTGATTTTTTTTTTAAATCAATCTCACCCATCTACCCACAATAACCTATAATGACAGTGAAAACATGTTTAGAAATGTTTGCTCATGTTTAGAAATGTTTGCTAATTTATTGAAAATGAAATACAGAAATATCTCATTTACATAAGTATTCACACCCCTGAGTCAATACATGTTAGAATCACCTTTTGGCAGTGATTACAGCTGTGAGTCTTTCTGGGTAAGTCTCTAAGAGCTTTGCACACCTGGATTGTACAATATTTGCACATTATTTTTTTAATTCTTCATGCTCTGTTAAATTGGTTGTTGATCATTGCTAGACAGACTTGTCTTGCCATAGATTTTCAAGCCGATTTAAGTCAAAACGAACTAGGCCACTCAGGAACATTCAATGTCATCTTGGTAAGCAACTCCAGTGTATTCTTGGCCTTGTGTTTTAGGTTATTGGCCTTCTGAAAGCAAATCTGTCTCCCAGTTTATTTTGGAAAGCAGATTGAACCAGGTTTTCCTCTATTACGTTTCTTTTTATTCCAAAAAACTCCCTTGCCAATGACGAGCATAACCATAACATGTGGTCCTCTGTAGCTCAATTGGTAGAGCATGGCGCTTGTAACGCCAGGGTAGTGGGTTCGATCCCCAGGACCACCCATACGTAAAAATGTAAGCACACATGACTGTAAGTCGCTTTGAATAAAAGCGTCTGCTAAATGGCATATTCTTATTATATTATTAAGCAGCCACCACCATGCTTGAAAATATAGAGTGGTACTCAGTGATGTGTTGTGTTGGATTTGCCTTAAACAACACTTTGTATTCAGGACATAAAGTTAATTTCTTTACCACATTTTTGGCAGTTTTACTTTAGTGCCTTCTTGCAAACAGGATGCATGTTTTGGAATATTTTTATTCTGTACAGGCTTCCTCCTTTTCACTCTGTCATTTAGGTTAGTATTGTGTAGTAACTACAATGTTGATCCATTCGTTTTTTCCTTTCACAGCCATCAAACTCTTAATTGTTTTAAAGTCACCATTGGCCTCATGGTGAAATCCCTGAGTGGTTTCCTTCCTCTCCGGCAACTGAGTTAGGAAGGACGCCTTTGTCTTTGTAGTGACTGGGTGTATTGATACACCATCCAAAGCCTAATTAATAACTTCACCATGCTCAAAGGGATATTCAATGTCTACCAATAGGTGCCCTTCTTTGCGAGGCATTGGAAAACCTCCCTGGTCTTTGTGGTTGAATTTGTGTTTGAAATTCACTGCTCAACTGCGGGACCAGAGGGGTACAGAGATGAGGTAGTCTAAAAAATGATTGCACACAGAGTGAGTCCATGGAACTTATGTGACTTGTTAAGACAATTTTTAATCCTGAACTTATTTAGGCTTGCAGTAGAAGGGATGACTCTAGACATTTCAGCTTTTCATTTATTAATTAATTTGTTTTTCATTGTTTTATTAATTTGTAAACGTTTCTAAAAACATAATTCCACTTTCACATTATGGGGTGTAGGCCAGTGACACAATCTCAATTTAATCAATTTTACATTCAGGCTGTAAAACAACAAAATGTGGAAAAAGTCATGTCAATTCTGAAGCCACTGTATATAATACTCTTATTCATAACAAAAACAGGTAGCTAAATATAATAAGATACAATCATTTGTCATTAGTGAGAAGAGCGAAAATCTATTTTGTCTTTGCATTCTAAAATAATTGGAAATAGGCGTCTATTTCCTATTTTTATTTCATTTCCATGATCATTTCATAATTAATGACTCACCTTTTCTGACTGTGATGGTTTCATGGTCGCGAAATAGCCTATAGACCTACAACAAATTAGTTTAGGCTACCATTCGTCACATCTCTCAATTAATTGGACCCATGTTACAATAGTAAATAGATAAGCTATGTCAAGTATTTTGCTCTATGCGATCCGACGTGAAGCGCAGTTTAACGGTAGAACAGACGGTTCACCTTTTCCATTAACGTTTGTAGGCTACGTCTGAATACTGTAATGTCAAATTTCTCTGGTAGACAGTTTGATTTATAAACATACATATTCTGAGTATACCAAACATTAGGAACACCTTCCTAATATTGAGTTGCACCCCGCCTTTTGCCCTCAGAACAGCCTCATTTCGTCGGGGCATGGACTCTACAAGGTGTCGAAAGCGTTCCACAACGGTACTGACCCATGTTGACTCCAATGCTTCCCACAGTTGTCAAATTGGCTGGATGTCATTTGGGTGGTAGTTGAGCGTGAAGAACCCAGAAGCGTTGCAGTTCTTGACACAAATCGGTGTGCCTGGGCTGGCACCTACTACCATACCCTGTTCAAAGGCACTTAAATATTTTGTCTTGCCCATTCACCCTCTGAATGGCACACATACAAACCTTGTCTCAAATCCATCTTTAACCTGTCCTCCCCTTCATCTACACTGATTGAAGTAAATTTAACAAGTAACATCAATAAGGGATCATAGCTTTCACCTGGATTCACCTGGTCAGTTTGTCACGGAAAGAACAGGTGTTCTTAATGTTTTGTGCACTGCTTATAAGCCTATCATAATAAATTCCTCACCTTTTCTGGCCAAGTTGAGTTCATATTCCTGACGTAACCATACAATAAATGACCATGCTCATCTCTCATTTAATTGGACCTATTAGATAGGCTATTATACGTTTTTGCTTATGCATCCGAAAGGAGCGCGGTTTATAACATACAGTAGAATTTAACAGGTGAATAGACAGTTGATATTTTGCATTGAAGTGTGTAGGCTAGCACTGTAAGTAGGCCTACTGTAGTTGTAATGTTTTCCAGAGTAGACAATGTTAAAGAATTTGCGGGCAGTGCAGCATATTTTGGTTGGGAAAAAAGTTAATGCAAAAACATTATCGAATTCAAACGATCTGTTTACAGGTCCACAACAATTTGCAATTGTTTTTGTCTTTCAGAAACAGTCAGATACAGCAAATGTCACTGCAAAAGAAACCATTCTGCCAACACCTCCAAATACATTTGGTGAAGTTTGGCCTAATTCCAATACTTCCAAAGTATACAGCAAATAAGGGCGTTATTATCACCATAAAAGGTGAATGCTGGGGGTTTTCAGACAGAGTTATAATGCTTGTTCACGTGCACAGAGTTTTATCACAGGTCTGATTTATAACGGGAAATATGCGTATGTATGGCGTGCTCCAAGTTTATACATATTTAGTGTAAGATTTACGCAATGGTTAAAAATGAGGCCCCTGGTCAGTCTGTTGTCCCTGTGCTGGTAGCTGTCATATTCTTTGGTGTCAGAAGTAATCCTTTGGTATGCACAGAGGGTATGGCAGTCGTGTTTTTCTTCTGCCTACCTTAGTTTGCCCTCAGATTTTCTATCAGAGTGAAAACATTGCTTAATTTAGAGAGCTTCTTGTCTGGGATCAGTGTTGAGGATTAGATACAGAAAGGACACACCTATACTGCATATCCCCTGTTCTGGGCTCTACCACTCAATTAAATTTGACCCTCTGCTCTTATACTCAGTCCATTCCCCATTTCTCTCTAAGGCCCAATAAGGATTCCCATGACAGCCCTGGTCTCGCAGGGTGATGACGTCACTACCATTCCTCTACTCATCCAGGGGTTATCCTCTTACAGGGGCCCTAGAAAGGCCTCCTGTAGTGGTTCCTCTGTGTCTTATACTTCTGATATTTTGGAAGTAATCTGATGACCATTTTAGACCATTGAGTGGTGTACACGTAGGTTAAATGTACCTCTAGCAGTGCTGTCATATTCGATAATGTATTATAATATTAATCAGATGCTGGATTATGTTGCACATGTCAAGCTATAATGTATTTTGAGTTGAATTTTAGCCTTTGTTTTGTTCCTTCACCGATTGCTTTCTTAGTCACTATTAGTTGTGTTTTACTTGGTCACCTGACTCAGTGCTGCAAAAGGCAGCCTTATGTATCTACATACAGTACAGAACATACCTTATTGAGGTGAAAGGTCAGAGTTTCTCCTTACGCTTGTCCTCTCTTGTGGGTGCCTCTGCTGTATTTAAGTTTGTTGGTTTACTTTCATTTTGAACTGAGCAGGTTGCTAATGCTGTAGAAGTGAAGCCTTATATAAATCCTCCAATCTCACAATCAGCACTGTCGGCAAAGTCACTCCCAATCAGCACTGTCGGCAAAGTCACTCACAATCAGCACTGTCGGCAAAGTCACTCCCAATTAGCACCTCCATTACACTCCCAATCAGCATCTACTGCTAATACTACCTTCACTGGAACTCTATGCACTCACAATCAACACCTGCTCATTCACAATCATGTTCTCAATCAGCACTTCTACATTATACCTGCACTCAAGTCACCGATTCAAGATTTGTAAATGTTAGATGTGAAGTAGCTGTTAAGCCTTGTTCACACTGCAGGTCTTAATGCTCAAATCAGTTTATTTTTTCAAATATGTTTTGGAATACTGACTGTCTAGTCTAAGTGACCAAATCATGTGTTCAGACAGCAGTCATTTCCTGACGTGGCTACGCAAGTGTGTGTTCAGTGGTATAGGGTGATTGGTGGTGGTGCTCGTGCTTCCTATCACTCAGAAGTTATGTAGCAAGCTAAGGTGACAACAATGGATGCAGTAAAGAGGTCATTGGAACTCGACCAAAACAATGGAAAATGCATGGGGGAAATCCTGAATTTTATTTTATTTTATTTTATTTATTAGGATCCCCATTAGCTGACGCCAATGGTGACACCTAGTCTTACTGGGGTCCGACACATAAGGAAAAATACATTACAATTTACATACATTTAAAAACATTAACATGTAGTGTGTGTGTGTGTGTGTGTGTGTGTGTCAGTTACACATACATGTCAGTACATACACACAACAAGTAGAATCACCTCATTTACCGCATGTATGCCTGCCATGGACATTTCCCATAGCTTTGAATGTTAAAAATCAGAGTGTAAGAATACTTTTAAAGCCTCAAAACAAGTCCTTTTTGGCTAGCCACAACAGTCAACTAACTATCTAGCTAGGTAGCTGTTTAGCTTTCTAGCACATTCACTAATTTGTTCGTAAACAATTAACAAGCTAGTTAGCTACCACATTCTTGTCATGTCAACAGAGTAGCTCGCAAGTAACAAGATATGCCAAATAAAAACCACTTGAGGGCAAATCAATTTGATTTGACCGTTCAGACAAGTCGCATGGACAGGAATCAAATTTGTATCTGATTTCAAACCACCTAATAATAATAATAATAACGAAGGTGGTTTCAAATGTGGCTTGAAATATACGATTCCATGTGCTTTTTGGCTGTTCAGAATGCAGGGAAAATAACAGATTAGAATTAGATATGCTGAAAAATAGGATTTGAGTCATTTCAAACTGCAAGTGTGAACAAGGCTTTAGACTGAGGGTGCCTCACTATTTCTACCTTTAGAATCAGCACCCCCTCTCAGAACATACCAGAATTACTACAACCCTTGTCAGCACCTCAAGTGAAACACACACAGTTGGACAATAACTTTCACTTGTGGCGTCAGACACACACTTACCTACACATGCTCAAAAGACACAATTCCACAAAAGACACAAGTAAATGGTCAACACATGGTTTCATCATAAACCCGTAAGTGTTACCTTTTTGCTCTTCTATACCAGTTTTGCATTCCTTCTGTTTTGTATTTGTTTCCATAGCCATATGAAATGCTGATATGGTCTTTGACTATTGTAGAATCTTGAAGCACTTTTCAATGTTTGCTATCCACGACTCTGCATATTACCTGGTCATAGTGGGGACCAATACAGAGGTTTTAAACTACTTGATCCAAAGTAAGAACCACTCTCTTAAAATTAGAAATGATTGTTTTTTTTTTCTTTGTGATTACTCTTTGTACAACACATATTTTCATATGTGAATTCATCTGCCGTGCAAATGAATACTGCATCAGCAGCAATTATAATTGACTCTACAATAGTTTATTTTAGCAACGCTAGTATTTACACACTAGTGTTGCTAGGAATTAGCTTGCAAAAAAAACGAATGGGGGGGGGGGGGGGGGGGGGGTTTGAGAAAAAAAAAAAAAAAACATCTAATAGAACATTAATTAAACAGACTTTCCAAGCGTGGGTATGTTGTAGACCCTCTTCCTCTCCGTTTATCTCATGTCAAAATAAAAGTCCTGCAAGTGCGCCATACATGCGCACAAAAAAGCAAGAACTTGTGGGGGACTTTTAATTTTGACATGAGGTAAGCAGAGAGGAACTGACCTCGCTAAGGAACTGCATGGGTCTACAACAGACCCACGTTTGGAAATTCTGTTTAATTATACGTTCCATTAGATGTTCTTTCTCAAATTCCCCCTGCATAAAGACAAAGCCTACAGACAATCGAGTAAGTTGAAATTGAATTTTATTTAACTTCTGGCTTTTCAGTTGTTTTCCAAGCTAATTCCCAGCAATGCTAGTGTGTGAAGTTTTGTTGTTAAAATAGTTTTTTTGTAGGTCCATTCCTGAAAAAACGTAATATCAAGTCTCTCACTGTCTTTGATTTATGACTGACTGTAGTCTGTTGTATAGGAAAGCACAGTGGCAGATTCTACAGCAAGCCTCCCCTGCTGAAACCTAAAGGCACCCATATCAAAATACTTGAGTCATGCAAAGCTTGCATTTGATGAACATTCATTTGTTGTATGTCCTTATGTAAAGATTAATAAATGAATGCAAAACAAGTCAATTTAATAGTTGTAATTTATGTTGCATTTGTTTAGATGGAATTGTCAATCAGTAAAGCAGAAGCCAAGGGATTAATAAAACGTGGTTAAAAATAAGTGGCAAGAGTTGTGGAACAGGGAGAGTAAGGGAAGACACCTGTATAAGATACAGGAAAGGTGGGGGCAGGGAGGTCCTCAGGCTGAGAGAGACGGGAGGAAAGTGTAGTCACAAGGCTGAGACTGTGACACTCTAGGCTAAATAGTACATTGAAAGTGGTGGGGAAACATCCGACTGGGAGGTGTGATCATTGTCAGGAGGATGGCCCCGTGTAGCTCAGTTGGTAGAGCATGGCGCTTGCAACGGGTTGTGGGTTCGATTCCCACGGGGGCCAGTATGAAAATGTAGGCACTCTAACTGTAAGTCGCTCTGGATAAGAGCGTCTGCTAAATGACAAAAAAAGAAAGATGGAGACGGAGACAGTGGAACATGTTCTATTTCAGTGCCAGAAATATGTGAGAGAAAGGGAGCGATTGTTATTAGATTTTAGGATAAATGGGGTTGAAGAGCCAGGATTAAGTGACTACTGTGGGAATCTTCAGGGGATGTAGTTATGCATTTCGTTTCCTTAGGGAGACGAGATTATTGGGTAGGATTTAGACCTTCACTGTCTCTGGTCCACGCTCCAGTCTAGTTGGTGGCGGTAATGCACCTTAAAGTTGGTTTCCAACCGCGAAGAAGAAGAAGACGACGATTCAGCCCTGCAGATTTTACGGAAATTGCGTCAGTTTATAAACATCACAAACATGGCGATTTACAGGCAGGTCGGGAGGTTGTTGGGTATTTCTCTAAGAATTTCAAGTCCGTAAGTTGTCCTCTCTGTGGATTTGTTGAGTACTGAAGATATCTATTAAGCTTTAGGAATGCATGTTTGCGTCAACTAATTAGTAACTAAGCAGCTAGCTAACGTTAGCTAGCTAGATAGCTAGCTTGCTCTTAACTGTTTCATAAGCCAAGCCGAGGTCTGACGCAGATATCAGACTTGAGCTAACGTGATTAGTGTAGCTCCATCTCCAGTTAAAAGTTATAACAGTTACAATATAATTGAACTGGTTTAATAGAACATGATTATTTATAGCTAACTAGTGGCTCAGCTTGCCTCTCACTGGGGGAAAATACACCAGCCCAGTAAGCACATAATGATGCAGTGGGAGTTTGATCACAGGAATATTTTCATAATGGGTTTTTGGAAGTAACATTTCTGCACACTATTTCATCAAATTGAATTGTTCATTGTCAGCATGCTGTACTCCAAAATGTTGTTACATCATGTGACTAATCAGATTATCTACAATCTAGCGTGACTGATTGTTTTTATTTAGCCTGGTTGATCGTGGTGATCAATTTACCCAATTCTTATCCTATCTTAACCTGCTCAAAATGTTATTTTTTTTCTTAAGCCTTGCTGTGCGTGCATATCAGTATGCTGGACTGCATTGGACTCCACTCAACATTGGTGTCACAAGGAGATGGTCACTGCCACCATTTTCAGTTGTTTGTGGTAGGCATGAAAACTATGTAAAGTGTGTATTTACATTGCCTTCAGAAAGTTTTCATGCCCTTTGACTTTTTCCTCATTTTGTGTTACAGCCTGAATTTAAAATTGATTAAATAGAGATTTTTTTTGTCACTGGCCTACACATAATGCCCTATAACAGGGATTCTTCAATTCCGGTCCTGGAGGGCCGAAACACTTCTGTTTTTTATTTCTACCTTGTAGTTAATTGCACTCACCTGGTGTCCCAGGTTTGAATTAGCCCCAGATTAGAAGGAGAGGATGAAAAACAGAGGTGTTTCAGCCCTCCAGGACCGGAATTGAAGATCCATACCCTATAATATCAAAGTGTAATTATGTTTTTCAAAATTAATTTCACCATGAGGCCAATGGTGACTTTGAAACAGTTCGTTTAATGGCTGTGATAGAACTGAGGATGGGTCAACAACATTGTAGTTACTCTACATTAGCCTAATTGACAGTGAAAAGGAAGCCTGTACAGAATAAAAAATATTACAAAACATGCATCCTGTTTGCAACAAGGCACTACAAGTAATAACCTTTTGTCCTGAATACAAAGTGTTGTGTTTGTGAAATGAATTCACCTTTCATCAGGGCAATAAGCTAAAACACAAGGCCAAATCTACAATATATTTGCTTACCAAGAAGACAGTGAATGTTCCAGTGGCAGAGTTACAGTTTTGACTTAAATCTACTTGAAAATCTATGGCAAGACCTAAAAATGGTTGTCTAGCAATGATCAACAACCAATTTGACAGAGGTTGAAGAATTTTGAAAATAATAATGGGCAAATGTTGTACAATCCAGGTGTGGAAAATTCTTAGACTCGCAGCTGTAATTGCTGCCAAAGGTGCATTGACTCAGGTGTGAATACTTACAGTACCAGTCAAAAGTTTGGACACACCTACTGAATAAATTGTTGAATAATAGTGAAAACATCAAAACTATGAAATAACACATGGAATCATGTAGTAACCAAAAAGTGTTAAACAAATCAAAATATATTTTAGATTCTTCAAAGTAGCCACCCTTTGCCTTGATGACAGCTTTGCAAACTCTTGGCATTCTCTCAACCAGCTTCACCTGGAATGCTTTTCCAACAGTCTTGAAGGAGTTCCCACATATGCTGAGCACTTGTTGGCTGCTTTTCCTTCACTCTGTGGTCCAACTCATCCCAAACCATCTCAATTGGGTTGAGGTTGGGGGATTGTGGAGGCCAGGTCATCTGATGCAGCACTCCACTCTCCTTGGTAAAATAGCCCTTACACAGCCTGGAGGTATGTTGGGTCATTGTCCTGTTGAAAAACAAATGATAGTCCCACTAAGCGTAAACCAGATGGGATGGCGTATCGCTGCAGAAGGCTGTGGGAGCCATGCTGGTTAAGTGTGCCTTGAATTCTAACTAAATCACAGACAGTGTCACCAGCAAAGCACCATCATACCACCTCTTCCATGCTTCACGGTGGGAACCACACAAGTGGAGATCATCCGTTCACATACTGTGCATTTTGGTTGGAACCAAAAATCTCAAATTTGGACTCAGACCAAACGACATATTTCCACCAGTCTAATGTCCATTGCTCGTGTTTCTTGGCCCAAGCAAGTCTCTTATTGGTGTCCTTTTATTAGTGGTTTCTTTGCAGCAATTCGACCATGAATCAAATCAAATTTTATTGGTCACATGCACCGAATACAACAGGTGCAGACATTACAGTGAAATGCTTACTTACAGCCCTTAACCAACAGTGCATTTATTTTAAACAAAAAAAATAAAGGAAAAATAAAACAACAACAAAAAAAGTGTTGAGAAAAAAAGAGCAGAAGTAAAATAAAGTGACAGTAGGGAGGCTATATATACAGGGGGGTACCGTTGCAGAGTCAATGTGCGGGGGCACCGGCTAGTTGAGGTAGTTGAGGTAATATGTACATGTGGGTAGAGTTAAAGGCCTGATTCACGCAGTCTCCTCTGAACAGTTAATGTTGATGTGTATGTGACTTGAACTCTGTGATGCATTTATTTGGACTGCAATTTCTGAGGCAGGTAACTAATGAATTTATCCTCTGCAGCAGAGGTAACTCTGGGTCTTCCGTTCCTGTGGCGGTCCTCATGAGAGCCAGTTTCATCATAGCGCTTGATGGTGTTTGCGACTGCACTTGAAGAAACCTTCAAAGTTCTTGAATTTTTCCGTGTTGACTAACCTTCATGTCTTAAAGTAATGATCGACTGTCGTTTCTCTTTGCTTATTTGAGCTGTTCTTGCCATAATATATAATAATATGCCATTTAGCAGACGCTTTTATCCAAAGCGACTTAGTCATGTGTGCATACATTTTTACGTATGGGTGGTCCCGGGGATCGAACCCACTACCTTGGCGTTACAAGCGCAATGCTCTACCAATTGAGCTACAGAGGACCACAAATATGGACTTGGTCTTTTACCAAATAGGACTATCTTCTGTATACCACCCCTACCTTGATTGGCTCAAACGCATTAAGAAGGAAAGAAATTCCACAAATTAACTTTTAACAAGGCACACCTGTTAATTGAAATGCATTCCAGGTGACTACCTCATGAAGCTGGTTCAGAGAATGCCAAGAGTGTGCAAAGCTGTCAAGGCAAAGGGTGGCTACTTTGAAGAATGTCAAATATAAAATATATTTTGATTTGTTTAACACTTTTTTGCTTACTACATGATTCCATATGTGTTATTTCATAGTTTTGATGTCTTCACTAATATTCTACAATGTAGAAAATAGTAAAAATAAAGTGTGTAGATGAGTGAGGAAACACAAAGTTTGGAATAAGTCAATTGGTATGAATACTTTCTGAAGGCACTGTAAATGTCTCCATTTTGCAGAAGCTATATAAAATGTGTTGTAGCACCACAATAGCGCAAATGATTTTGACAATATTGTGCCCCTCTCTTTCCAGCAAGGACCATGTTCATTCAGACTCAAGACACTCCCAACCCAAACAGCTTGAAGTTTCTGCCTGGTCGCATGGTCCTCGAACAAGGAACAATGGATTTTGCTGCACCCCGGGAAGCCTATTGCTCACCCCTCGCTAGGTTAATAACTTAGGCTACTGAAACCATTCCTCCCGATATGGGATATAACTTTTTTACACATTTGGAAAAAAACAAGCAGTCTGATAGAGATCTTGTTACAGCCCTAACTTATCTTGGGCAACAAATCAAATGTTATTTGTCACTTGCGCTGAATACAACAGGTGTAGACCTTACTGTGAAATGCTTACTTACAAGCCCTTAACCAACAATGCCGTTTTAAGAAAATAAAGTTAAGAAAATATTTACTAAATAAACTAAAGAAAAAATTACACAATAGAATAACAATGAGGTTATATACAGGGAGTACCGGTACTGAGTCAATGTACGGGGGTACAGGTTAGTCGAGGTAATTTGGACATGTAGGTAGGGGTAAAGTGACTATGCATAGATAATAAACAGCAAGTAGCAGCAGTGTAAAAACAACATTGTAACTTCATATTATTTCTTCAGGCAGCTATTTAGAATCGATGGTGTCAAGGGTGTCTTTTTGGGTCCTGACTTCATTACCATAACCAAGGTAAGATTTCCAGTCATTTAAATCAAATGTTATTTGTCACATGCGCCGAATACAACAGGTGTAGACTTTACTGTGAAATGCTTACTTACGAGCCCTTTCCCGACAATGCAGAGTTAAAAAGTAAGAAAAATGACCAAATCATGGCTTAGAAATGATGAGAATTGCTCTGTTTCTGTCTTCTTATTCAGACAGATATAGATCTGGAATGGAAGTTAATCAAACCTGATGTGTTTGCTGCTATTATGGACTTTTTCACCTCTGGACTCCCTGTTGTCAATGAGGAGGACACCCCTCGTGCAGATACAGGCATGGAACATACACACAGACAAGCAAACACAATCACTGGTTAAGGCTTTACAAGACATGCACTTAACATAGGATAGGCTTTAGCAATAATGACTGTATAAAATCAATAATTCAAGAGCTGATGTATATTGTATGCACACACAAAAAAGGGGGGGGGGGGGGGGGGGGGGTTTAAAAACTATTTTATACTAAAACAATTGCTTGGAGAAAGATTTTGTTAAACAATAAATACTTATTTTCTTCAAAAAGGTACAGGTCAAAATGATTGACACCCCTAATGATTCTTGTAAATAAAGTAGTCAAAAGTTAATTTGGTCCCATATTCCTAGCACGCAATGACTACATCAAGCTTGTGACTCTACAAACCTGTTGGATGCATTTGCAGTTGGTTTTGGTTGTGTTTCAGACTATTTGGTGTCCAATAGCAATGAATGGTAAATAATACATTGTCATTTTGGAGTCACTTTTATTGTAAATAAGAAAATAGAATGTTTCTAAACACTACATTAATGTGGATAATCCTGAATTAATCGTGAATAATGATGTGAGAAAGTTAGAGGGTCAAATATCATACCCCCAAGACATGCGAACCTCCCTTATTATTGGTAATTATGAGAGGTTAGCATGTCCCCTTATTGAACTCGTACCTCGTTCAAATCAATGTGTGATAATCACTGTCTATCATCAGTACCAGAAGTGGTCTATATATTCGAGCAAGTCAATTAATAATACAGTGTGACTTGCGTAGTGCGTGCATTTTGTCAGTCTCGTCGCTAACTAGTTTGTAACCTGAAAAAAAGGCCAATGTTCGCGAATTAATTCTAGTATAGAGTATAACGTGACATCATACCAAGCGGTAACATCAATGACAGGAATTATGGCGTGATAAACTGTCAATCAAGTAGCTAGCAATGTCTATCTGGCTAGTTAACGTTAGCTAGCTACGTATTGGAAATGGGTGTGTAGCACACTGTTTATACACATCAAAACGCTTAGTCGCCCTCATGACAAACATGAATATGTTTCTAAACACTTCTACATTAATGTGGATGCTACCATGATTACGGATAAGAATGAATTGTGAATAATGATGATTGAGAAAGTTAGTGGTTCAAAGACCCTAACCCCAAGACATGCTAACCTCTCACCATTATCAAAAACAGGGAAGGTTAGCATGTCTTGGGGGTATGATATTTGACCCGCTGTAACTTTCTCACTCGTCATTATTCACGATTCATTCAGGAGTTTCCACAACCATGGTAGCATCCACATTAATGTAGAAGTGTTTAGAAACGTATTCTATTCTTATTTACAATAAAAGTGGCTCCAAAATGACGCTACATTATTTACCATTAATTTCTATTCGGCACAAAATAATTTGAAACACAGCCAAAACTAACTGAAAATGCATCCAAAATGTTTGTTGAGTCACAAGCTTGATGTAGTCATTGCGTGCTAGGAATATGAGACATAATACTAAACTTTGTTTATACGAATCTTTAGGGGTGTCGATAATTTTGACCCCTGCCAAAAAAAAATTTGAGCAATTGTATTAATATAAAATAATATAATTTCCCCCAAAAAATCTACAGTGGGGAAAAAAAGTATTTAGTCAGCCACCAATTGTGCAAGTTCTCCCACTTAAAAAGATGAGAGAGGCCTGTAATTTTCATCATAGGTACACATCAACTATGACAGACAAATTGAGAAAAAAAAATCCAGAAAATCACATTGTAGGATTGTTTATGAATTTATTTGCAAATTATGGTGGAAAATAAGTATTTGGTCACCTACAAACAAGCAAGATTTCTGGCTCTCACAGACCTGTAACTTCTTCTTTAAGAGGCTCCTCTGTCCTCCACTCGTTACCTGTATTAATGGCACCTGTTTGAACTTGTTATCAGTATAAAAGACACCTGTCCACAACCTCAAACAGTCACACTCCAAACTCCACTATGGCCAAGACCAAAGAGCTGTCAAAGGACACCAGAAACAAAATTGTAGACCTGCACCAGGCTGGGAAGACTGAATCTGCAATAGGTAAGCAGCTTGGTTTGAAGAAATCAACTGTGGGAGCAATTATTAGGAAATGGAAGACATACAAGACCACTGATAATCTCCCTCGATCTGGGGCTCCACGCAAGATCTCACCCCGTGGGGTCAAAATGATCACAAGAACGGTGAGCAAAAATCCCAGAACCACACGGGGGGACCTAGGGAATGACCTGCAGAGAGCTGGGACCAAAGTAACAAAGCCTACCATCAGTAACACACTACGCCGCCAGGGACTCAAATCCTGCAGTGCAAGACGTGTCCCCCTGCTTAAGCCAGTACATGTCCAGGCCCGTCTGAAGTTTGCTAGAGTGCATTTGGATGATCCAGAAGAGGATTGGGAGAATGTCATATGGTCAGATGAAACCAAAATAGAACTTTTTGGTAAAAACTCAACTCGTCGTGTTTGGAGGACAAAGAATGCTGAGTTGCATCCAAAGAACACCATACCTACTGTGAAGCATGGGGGTGGAAACATCATGCTTTGGGGCTGTTTTTCTGCAAAGGGACCAGGACGACTGATCCGTGTAAAGGAAAGAATGAATGGGGCCATGTATCGTGAGATTTTTAGTGAAAACCTCCTTCCATCAGCAAGGGCATTGAAGATGAAACGTGGCTGGGTCTTTCAGCATGACAATGATCCCAAACACACCGCCCGGGCAACGAAGGAGTGGCTTCGTAAGAAGCATTTCAAGGTCCTGGAGTGGCCTAGCCAGTCTCCAGCTCTCAACCCCATAGAAAATCTTTGGAGGGAGTTGAAAGTCCGTGTTGCCCAGCGACAGCCCCAAAACATCACTGCTCTAGAGGAGATCTGCATGGAGGGATGGGCCAAAATACCAGCAACAGTGTGTGAAAACCTTGTGAAGACTTACAGAAAACGTTTGACCTGTGTCATTGCCAACAAATGGTATATAACAAAGTATTGACAAACTTTTGTTATTGACCAAATACTTATTTTCCACCATAATTTGCAAATAAATTCATTAAAAATCCTACAATGTGATTTTCTGGAATTTTTTTTCTCATTTTGTCTGTCATAGTTGACGTGTACCTATGATGAAAATTACAGGCCTCTCTCATCTTTTTAAGTGGGAGAACATGCACAATTGGTGGCTGACTAAATACTTTTTTTCCCCACTGTAGCTCAGTATTATTTTATTTTATTTTATACATTTACATTTTAGTCATTTAGCAGACGCTCTTATCCAGAGCGACTTACAGTTAGTGAATGCATACATTCTTCATACTGGACCCCCGTGGGAATCGAACCCACAACCCTGGCATTGCAAGCGCCGTGCTCTACCAACTGAGCTACAGGAGGCCTTATTATTATTATCATTATTGGACAGGAAAAGGCACAACTCTCGCTCACCATTAAAACGTAGTAGTTTTATTAGACAAGTTTAAAATATTGACGTTTTGGCCTTCAATGGCCTTCTTCAAAATATTCACAAAGGGAATGGGAAAGTTCATATAGGGCATGGGGAAAACAATTAGGGAGATAACTCTCTTCAGCTGGTTGGTACTCAGGGTGTGGTGGGTTTATCTTTATCAAGGGTATCAATTTCAGAAGTGTGTGTCTGTGTATACAGTACTTGTTGGCTGCTTTTCCTTCACTCTGCAGTCCAACTCATTCCAAACCATCACAATTGGGTTGAGGTCGGGTGATTGTGGAGGCCAGGTCATCTGATGCAGCACTCCATCACTCTCCTTCTTGTTCAAATAGCCCTTACACAGCCTGGAGGTGTGTTGGGTCATTATTCTGTTGAAAAATAAATTATAGTCCCACTAAGCGCAAACCAGAAGGGATGGCGTATTGCTGCAGAATGCTGTGGTAGCCATGCTGGTTAAGTGTGCCTTGAATTCTAACTAAATCACAGACAGTGTCACCAGCAAAGCACCATCACACCTCCTCTTCCATGCTTAACGGTGGGAACCACACAAGCGGAGATCATCCGTTCACATACTCTGCATTTTGGTTGGAACCAAAAATCTCAAATTTGGACTCAGACCAAAGGACAGATTTCCACCGGTCTAATGTCCATTGCTTGTGTTTCTTGGCCCAAGCAAGTCTCTTCTTATTGGTGTCCTTTTATTAGTGGTTTCTTTGCAGCAATTCGACCATGAAGGCCTGACTCATGCAGTCTCCTCTGAACAGTTGATGTTGAGATGTCTGTTACTTGAACTCTGAAGCATTTATTTGGACTGCAATTTCTGAGGCAGGTAACTCTAATTAACTTATCCTCTGCAGCAGAGGTAACTCTGGGTCTTCCTTTCCTGTGGCGGTCCTCATGAGAGCCAGTTTCATCATAGCGCTTGATGGTTTTTGTGACTGCACTTGAAGAAACTTGATATTCTTGAAATTTTCCGTAGTGACTGACCTTCATGTCTTAAAGTAATGATGGACTGTCGTTTCTCTTTGCATATTTGAGCTGTTCTTGCCATAATATGGACTTGGTCTTTTACCAAATAGGACTATCTTCTGTATACCACCCCTACCTTGTCACAACACAACTGATTGGCTGAAACGCATTAAGAAGGAAAGAAATTTCACAAATTAACTTTTAACAAGGCACACCTGTTAATTGAAATGCATTCCAGATGACTACCTCATGAAGCTGGTTGGGAGAATGCCAAGAGTGTGCGAAGCTGTCATCAAGGCAAAGGGTGGCTACTTTGAAGAATGTCAAATATAAAATATATTTTGATTTGTTTAACACTATTTTGGTTACTACATGATTCCATATGTGTTATTTCATAGTTTTGATGTCTTCACTATTATTCTACAATGTAGAAAATAGTAAAAATAAAGAAAAACCCTGGAATGAGTAGGTGTCCAAACTTTTGACTGGTACTGTATATACACACACACACACACACAGACAGTGTATATAAGTATTTGGACAGTGACACAATTTGCATCATTTTGGCTCTGTACGCCACCACAATGGATTTGAAAGGAAACAATCAAGATGTGCTTCAAGTGTAGACTTTCATCTTTAATTTAAGGGTTTTGTCAAAATTATTGTATGTACCATGTAGGAATTACAACCATTTTTATACATAGCCCCCCAATTTTAGGGGTTCAGAAGTAATTGGACAAACTAACATAATCAGAAATTAAATTGTGAGTTTTAATACTTGGTTGCAAATCCTTTGCAGTCAATTACTGCCTTAAGTCTGGAACCCATAGACATCACCAGATGCTGGGTTTCTTCCCTGGTGATGCTCTGCCAGGCCTTTACTGCAGCTGTCTTCAGTTCCTGATTGTTCTTGGGGCGTTTTGCCTTCAGCAAGTGAAATGCATGCTCAATTGGATTCAGGTCAGGTGATTGACTTGGCCATTGCAGAACATTCCACTTCTTTGCCTTAAATAAGTATTGGGTTGCTTTCGCAGAATGCTTCGGGTCATTGTCCATCTGCACTGTGATGCGCCGTCCAATGAGTTTTGAAGCATTTGGCTGAATCTGAGCAGATAATATAGCCCTAAACAATTCTGAATTCATCCTGCTGCTTTTGTCAGCAGTCACATCATCAATGAATACAAGGGAACCAGTTCCATTGGCAGCCATACATGCCCACGCCATAACACTACCTCCACCATGCTTCACAGATGAGGTGGTATGCTTCGGATCATGAGCAGTTCCTTCCCTTCTCCATACTCTTCTCTTCCCATCATACTGGTACAAGTTGATCTTGGTCTCATCTGTCCATAGGATGTTGTTCCAGAACTGTACAGGCTTTTTTTAGATGTTTTTTGGCAAATCTGGTCTTCCTGTTTTTGAGGCTTACCAATGGTTTACATCTTGTGGTAAACCCTCAGTATTTACTCTGGTGAAGTCTTCTCTTGATTGTTGACTTTGACACAGATACGCCTACCTCCTGGAGGGTGTTCTTGATCTGGCCAACTGTTGTGAAGGGGTTTTTCTTCACCAGGGAAGGAATTCTTCTGTCATCCACCACAGTTGTTTTCCGTGGTCTTCCGGGCCTTTTGGTGTTCCTGAGCTTACCAGTGCGTTCTTTCTTTTTAAGAATGTACCAAATAGTTGATTTGGCCACACCTAATGTTTGTGCTATCTCTCTGATGGGTTTGTTTTGATTTTTCAGCCTAAGGATGGCTTGCTTCACTGGCATTGACAGCTCTTTGGACTTCATATTGAGGGTTAACAGCAACAGATTCCAAATGCAAATGCCACACTTGAAATCAACTCTAGACCTTTTATCTGCTTACTTGTAAATGAACTAATGAGGGAGTAACACACATCTGGCCATGGAACAGCTGAGCAGCCAATTGTCCAATTACTTTTGGTCCCTTAAAAAGGGGGGGACCACATATAAAAAGTGCTGTAATTCCTACACCGTTCACCCGATTTGGATGTAAATACCCTCAAATTGAAGCTGAAAGTCTGCACTCAAGTCTTCAGCTCATATTCATTACTTAATTTCAACTCAGAATATGCTGTGGTAGACAGCTAAAATAATAATAACTTGGTCAATGTCCAAATATTAAAGATTGTTGCATCTATTTCCTATGTTAAATGTTATAAGTACTGTAAGTATATGTTTGCATGAACTGTTCCCTTTGTCTTTACAGCACCCTCAGATGATGATGATGAGGTAATTGCTATGATCAAAGAGCTTCTGGACACCCGAATCAGGTATTATTACAGTAGTTGTACATAGCCCTTTTCTGACATCTCCCTCCCTGTTGTCAGAAGTGTCTCTGCTCATTGCGGTATCGGTATGAATTAAAGTCTTAACTCATGTGGTTTCCCCCAGGCCCACAGTGCAGGAGGATGGTGGAGATGTCCTGTATTGTGGCTTTGAGGATGGCATTGTGAAGCTGAAGCTGCAGGGCTCCTGCACCAGTTGCCCCAGCTCCATGGTCACACTGAAGAGTGGCATCCAGAATATGTTGCAGTTCTATGTCCCTGAAGTGGAAGGGGTAGAGCAGGTTTGTACCCTGTACAAAATAACTTGCAGAATTTGAGATGATTCATGATTGCCTGTAGGTCCAATTCTCGATTTCACAAGATGAATTTCATGTACTTTCCCAGGTGAAGGATGAGCAAGAGGAAGTTGCCCAAGGCTGAGTCCAATGGAAACTACTGACTCTACAGACATTCCTCTCACCCTCTCCCCTCCAGTAGCCACTCCTGACTCCATCCTATAGCTGATTTAATGAGCATCGTAGAGGCCTGTCTAAAGCACAGCAGTGGCAAAAGAAGAACTGTGGGGTTATTTGGAGAGATTTCTAATTGAACATCATGGCAGTTTTCAGAGATTGTCAGTCATTCTGGCTATGGGATTCAGGGGGTAAGAGATGAACGCCTTGTCTGAAGTAGTGTCTTTGTCCTGCTGCTTGCTTTGAAAGGCTTGCAGGCTGAAGGACTCCAACTTGAACTTCTGTCTGACAATGAATTTATTACAGTATCTAGTGTTATCACACCATATAACTCAGTAAGTATTGGTTATTTAAGGCCCGATGCAGCCGTTTTATATCAATATCAAATCATTTCTGGGTAACAATTTAAGTACCTTACTGTAATAGATTTCCTTTCAAATGGGCAAAATAGCTTTTTAGGTAAAAAATTATTCTCAAGCAAGACTTTTGCTAAGACTGTCTGAAGGCAGTGTGAGTGGGTAGGGAACAATTGAGAACTAGCTGTCATTGGCAGGGAGGTTTGGAACTGTCTTTGTTATTGGTCTATTCATTAATTTACCGCATGGTGATGCCCCCATGGAAAGCCGAAATTCCCGCACATGCAAACCTGCTGATTAGAAGGCCCTGTTTTGATTGTATTTTCAACCAGCAGCTATCAGGAAATAACACTGATCAAATTGTTTCACACTTTTACAGTATTAGGTCCATCAGCTGTTGTACAATATGATATACATTTTGACTGCATTGAGCCTTTTAAAAAAACAACTCCATCCATATACAACACAAATGTGCACACTGTAAATGTAAATAAATAAAATAAATTGAATTAGAATATGAAATTATTTTCTTGAATGCCCTGAATATTGGCCACCAACTAATCTGTCAATTTGACAGGGGAAATGGTGCACAGATAGAGGATGGTCTGGAGGAACGTTTGAGTTTGCATTGGTTTTTATGTCTGTTACTATTATCATGTGAATGTATAATAAGCAATTAAAAACACCTCTATAAATTATACATCTTTGTTGAGAATTTATCATCCACTAACTCACATCTCAGTGCAGTACACGGTCTGTTAAAATGAGACAGATGTAAAGTACCAAACAAATATGGTGACAAACATTTTACAAACTAAACTTGGAATAAATATGGTTGTCACTAGTTACCACAGCCGTAAACCCCACCTATTTCTAAAATATATATTTTCTTTAATTGTGATTTTAAACATAACCTTAACCACAATGCAAACCTTTTGCCTAACCTTATATTAAGACCAAAAAGCAAAATATAAATACATTATATTTTACGATAAAATAGCCACCAATAAATATTGGTTGGTTGGTTGACACTTCACAAATTGACTTTCCATCTCCTCACTCACGCCTACGGATATCCTATGTGCATCCTGCTGCTAAGTCAGGGTGACTGCGTCGGCAGGTAAGATTATATTAAGCTCCTGAGTGGCGCAGTGGTCTAAGGCACTGCATCGCAGTGCTAACTGTGCCACTAGAGATCCTGGTTCGAATCCAGGCTCTGTCGCAGCCGGCCGCGACCGGGAGACTCATGGGCGGCGCACAATTGGCCCAGCGTCGTCCAGGGTAGGGGAGGGAATGGCCGGCAGGGATGTAGCTCAGTTGATAGAGCATGGCGTTTGCAACGCCAGGGTTGTGGGTTCGATTCCCAGGGGGGGCCAGTATAAAAAAAAAAATAGATAAAATAAAAAAAGGGTTTCACTAACTGTAAGTCGCTCTGGATAAGAGCGTCTGCTAAATGGCTAAAATGTAAATGTAAGATGCGAGATTGACAGCCGTTGCACCAATAATGTCTGTCTCGACAACGACGAGACAGCCTATAGGGAGGAGGTCAGAAACCTGGCCGTGTGGTGCCAGGACAACAACCTCTCCCTCAACGTGATCAAGACAAAGGAGACGATTGTGGACTACAGGAAAAAGAAGAGGACGAGCACGCCCCCATTCTCATCAACGGGGCTGTAGTGGAGCTTCAAGTTCCTTGGTGTCCACATCACCAACAAACTAACATGGTCCAAGCACACCAAGACAGTTGTGAAGAGGGCATGACAAAACCTATTCCTCCTAAGGAGACTGAAAATATTTGGCATGGGTCCTCAGATCCTCAAAAGGTTCTACAGCTGCACCATCAAGAGCATCCTGACTGGTTGCATCACTGCCTGGTATGGCAACTGCTCGGCCTCCGACCGCAAGGCACTACAGAGGGTAGTGCGTACGGCCCAGTACATCACTGGGGCCAAGCTTCCTGCCATCCAGGACCTCTATACCAGGCGGTGTTAGAGGAAGGCCCTCAAAATTGTTAGACTCCAGCCACCCTAGTCATAGACTGTTCTCTCTGCTACCGCACGGCAAGCGGTACCTGGAGCGCCAAGTCTAGGTCCAAGAGGCTTCTAAACAGCTTCTACCCCCAAGCCATAAGACTCCTGAACATCTAATCAAATGACCACCCAGACTATTTGCATTGCCCCCCCCCCCCCCCCCCCCCCCCCCCCCCCCCCCTCTCCCACTGCTACTCTGTTTATTATCTATGCATAGTCACTTTTACCTACATGTACATATTACCTCTTACCTCGACTAACCGGTGACCCTGCACATTGACTCGGTAATGGTACCCCCTGTATATAGCCTCGCTATTGTTATTTTTATTGCTGCTCTTTAATTATTTGTTACTTTTATTTGGTATTATTATATATTGTATTTTTTGGTGTGATTTCTTTGGTGGTATTTCTTTAAACTGCATTGTTGGTTAAGGGCTTGTAAGTAAGCATTTCACTGTAAGGTCTACACCTGTTGTATTCGGCGCATGTGACAAATACAATTTGATTTGATTTGCTGAGGGGCTACTTGGATCCCATTCAATGGAATTTAAAGGGGGCAGGACGCTGTGACAGTCATTATATGAGGAGCTGAGCTGAGCCAGCTAACTAAACTCAGCAAAACAAAGAAACGCCCCTTTTTCAGGACCCTGTCTTTCAAAGATAATTAGTAAAAATCTAAATAACTTCACAGATCTTCATTGTAAAGGGTTTAAACACTGTTTCCCATGCTTGTTCAATGAACCATAAACAATGAATGAACATGCACCTGTGGAACGGTCGTTAAGACACTAACAGCTTACAGACAGTAGGCAATTAAGGTCACAGTTATGAAAACTTAGGAAACCAAAGAGGCCTTTCTACTGACTCTGAAATACACCAAAAGAAAGATGCCCAGGGTCCCTGCTCATCTGCGTGAACGTGCCTTAGGCATGCTGCAAGGAGGCATGAGGACTGCAGATGTGGCCAGGGCAATAAATTGCATTGTGAGACGCCTAAGACAGTGCTACAGGGAGACAGGACGGACAGCTGATCGTCCTCGCAGTGGCAGACCACGTGTAACAACACCTGCACAGGATCGGTACATCCGAATATCACACCTGCGGGACAGGTACAGGATGGCAACAACAACTGCCCGAGTTACACCAGGAACGCACAATCCCTCCATCAGTACTCAGACTGTCCGTAATAGGCTGAGAGAGGCTGGACTGAGGGCTTGTCGTAAGGAGACATCACCGGCAACAACGTCGCCTATGGGCACAAACCCACCGTCGCTGGACCAGACAGGACTGGCAAAAAGTGCTCTTCACTGACAAGAGATGGTAGGAGATAGTGATGGAGAGGAAAGTGAAGCAAGTATGGAACATAGTGGTACAAATAATGGAGGGAGTAAGAAAGAAAAAGAAAGCAGGAGAGAAAGGGAGTAGGGGAATGAAGGGGAGCGAGAGGTCTACGGAGGTAGAGGAGGCAGAAAAGGAAGTTTGAGGAGAGGAACCTAGCTTCCAACGCTAGCGGAAAGTGCAGAGGAAGGGCAAGATAAGATACGAGAGGAACATGGAGGTGAGGAGGAGCATAAAGTGATTATGAAGTTTAGGGAGGAAGGGGGAGTTGGGGCGATGAGTCCGATAAGGTTGACGGCTGTGATAAAAGAGTTGATTGGGGAAGTTGTTAATGCTAAAGTGTTAAGAGATGGGAGATTGTTGGTGTTCTGTAAGGACATGGCGCAGAGGATGGATGGAAATGGCCAAGTGATGGAAAATTTGATAGAAAAGAAAGATCTGGTGTGCCTGAATGATGGCCGAGGGACCAGGATTGATGTAGCCACGGGGAAAGAGTCTGCCTTGGACCTCACTCTGGTATCTAGTGCGATGGCAGGAATATGTGAGGGGGAGGTATGGGAGGAGTCGACAGTAGGGAGTGATCATTACCCCATAGTATGCACAGTACGCCGGAGGGAGGAGGTGGTGTCAGTGGATGGAGTAGGCAGGTGGGTGTTTGGAAGGGCAAAGTGGGTGAGCAGGTGATGGCTCGGGTGGATATGAGAGGGGATGTAGATAGTATGAATAACTGGGAGAGAACAACGTTAGTGGGGGCAGCTACTGAGGCTATACCTAAGAGTTCAGGCAGGAGGAGGAGGAAAGCAGTCCCATGGTGGGCAGAGGAATGTGGGGCAATGGTGAGGATTAGGAACAGGGCATTTAGAGTACTGAAAAGGATGCATAACTTCCAACATCTGATTCAGTATAAGCAGGCCCAGGCCATGGTGAGGAGAACTATCCGTCAGGCAAAGAGGTCATGTTGGCATTGGTTCTGTGACACCATTGTAAGGGCGACACCTGTGGGAGAAGTGTGGGGGATGATTACATTTACATTTACGTCATTTAGCAGACACTCTTATCCAGAGCGACTTACAAATTGGTGCATTCACCTTATAACCAGTGGGATAACCACTTTACAATGTTTTTTGTTTGGTGGGGTGGGGTAAGGGGGGGGTAGAAGGATTACTTCATCCTATCCCAGGTATTCCTTAAAGAGGTGGGGTTTCAAATGTCTCCGGAAGGTGGTGAGTGACTCCGCTGTCCTGGCGTCGTGAGGGAGCTTGTTCCACCATTGGGGTGCCAGAGCACCGAACAGTTTTGACTGGGCTGAGCGGGAACTCTGCTTCCGCAGAGGTAGGGGAGCCAGCAGGCCAGAGGTGTATGAACGCAATGCCCTCGTTTGGGTGTAGGGACTGATCAGAGCCTGAAGGTACGGAGGTGCCGTTCCCCTCACAGCTCCGTAGGCAAGCACCATGGTCTTGTAGCAGATGCGAGCTTCAACTGGAAGCCAGTGGAGTGTGCGGAAGAGCGGGGTGACGTGAGAGAACTTGGGAAGGTTGAACACCAGACGGGCTGCGGCATTCTGGATGAGTTGTAGGGGTTTAATGGCACAGGCAGGGAGTCCAGCCAACAGCGAGTTGCAGTAATCCAGACGGGAGATGACAAGTGCCTGGATTAGGACCTGTGCCGCT